GGTGAGCATCCACAATGTCCCGATTGATCATGCGCCCTGGCTACTTCGCCAAGGAGATGCCCCTTTGGCTGACTGGTTAGAGCGTATGACTCTCACTCGGGAGTCTGGGGATCGAATCCCGCCCGGGCATTCGTTTCTGCACCTTGCCACATTAGTTTTTCCAGTTCGGAAGTTGTTTTAAGTGTTGCTACTTGTCTTAAACGTTCACAATGAGGATATATTAATCCTTTTTGCAATATTTGCGATTGAAAGATGGTTTGTGCCACAAACTTTGTGGTAAGAACTGGCTTTCTTTATGTTACAGCTTTGATACAAAAAAAATAAATAAACAATGTAAAATGGCACCCTGTATTGAATGTAAACGTTGTATAAATGGAAATAAACAATTCTCCAGCGATTTAATTTTTTCCCCTTCCTTTCTTTAGTCCACTTGACATGGAGCCACAGTTAACTAGTTTGGGGCACATTTTTACTTGAAAAAAAGTATTTAAACTGATCAAGCTTTGGCTTTAATGACACTGTGTAGGTTGCTATCTATAATTACGTTGCTCTATTTAAAAGTAACAAGATAAAAGCACTTCAGCACATAAAATTAAGATTGTCACTTGCCAAATAGACTACACCCTCCCGTTTACCTATAAGAAATGCCTCAAAATATCTTTAAATTCTTTATTGATGATTTAATTGTAGACAACTAAAATGGCATTTTACTTGCCAAAAAGTGATTGAATTGCTAAGATTTTCATGGAGGCTAAAATTGACCAAATAAGGGTTTTATGTATTATCTGTTGATGTTACTGTACTCATACTGCCTACTGTATCATCATAAACACCCCAAAAATGGCAACAAAAAAAAAGAAAAAAAAAAAGATAATTTCCATTGCCAAAAATTGATTACAGAGTCCTGGTCACCTGTAAAGGGTTACATTTACCTAAATATTACTTTATTTATTATCTCTTGAGGTTATTAGTGCCATCACAGGATGCTGGGTGTCTTTCACATTCATAAACACTTCAAAAATGGCAACAAATGATCATTTCCCTTGCCAAAAATTGATTACAGTGTCCTGGTCACGTGTAAAGGGTTAAATTGACCTAAATATTACCTTATTTATTATGATGCTGGGTGTGTTCCACAATCATATTCGAATAAACATGAAAATATTCCGTCCGAATATCTGTTTCTTGTTATAAATATAACAGCTAGAAGGATTTACAGTTAAAATAGGAGAAACACGTGACTCCCCAGGAAGGGTCGTAACACCACTTGCCTCACGCACATAAGTGAACAAAACAAAGCAGCATGGAGACACTCCGTCTCCAACCACCTCTCAGGCAGCAGCCTGCACTCCCAAGTTCTACACGTCACCAGAACATAACCAACCGCAACACAATAAAAGCAGTGTTATACAAAATGGAAGGCCTGTAGTGTTTATTCTCTTACAGTAACAACTTATCAACTTTTTGGAGGAATTTATTTGAGAATTTTTTGGTTTTTAGTAATTGTGCAATAGAAAAGTAATCGCTAGATTAATCATCTAAATAGTCATTAGAATAGTCGACTATTCGATAAAATAATCATCAGAATAATCATTTTAAAAATAATCAGTTACCCCCAACCCTACTTTTTAGAATACCAGGATAGGAAGGATGGTGTAGGTTTACATTTATTAGATTGATGCATAAATACTACCAATAAGAAAGTGTACGTTGGTGTGTGTCAGAAACAGCGTAAGGCTTAATGTCTTTTCCAAAAAAAACAGGTGATGGGCCGGTCTCCAGTCAAAATGCCCGGGCTGAATTTTTGTCCCAGTCCAGCCCTGCACACAGTGTAGAGAACAGTGATGGGTTTAAATGTGAGGTGGTACAAAAAGAAAGCAATTGTTCATACCCACTCTCTGCTTTTAACAGCAAAACCTCAGTTATGATTCATCAGAGGCTGGAGACGGAGCAGTGACTGCACAAGGTCGCTTCATTGTGCCATTATGCTTCTGTCAGACCGAGCTGGGGTGTCCTCTTGGGCATTTTTGTATTTTTCTCTCAGTTACATAAGCGATACAGAGGCTCGCTTTTTATATGTAGTGGCTGCTGCACACTGTGTAGATGTAGCACGAAATCTAAGTCTCGAAAGAGGAGTTTTCCCAATCACCCTTTAGATCGATTCTGAAGTAGGAAAACTAAATGGGAAAAGAACATTTAGAACAGACATGACCTCATCTGAACAGCTGGCTCTTCACCAAAATGCTTTTCATTCCGAGTGCACAAAAAGGGTGACCTCTTTCTCACAGCGTCTAGCTAGTGTTTTTTATTTTTTTATCATCAGTTTCATCGGTAACAGTTAAACTTCCTGAAAGACTGGGAGGAAATGCATTGCTTAATCAAAATATTTGTAAGCTTTACAGTCAAAGAAGCCAATTTGAAAGCTTTTCCTGGGGAAAAAAATTTTTTTTTAGATACAAATTCAATTGAACCTTTAAAGCAGCAATCCAGAATTTTCTCTCTTTCAGCGGTTATGTATGATTTATTTATACTCTGTGTTGTGATATACTCAATTTTTATTTTTTTTGCTAAGCCCACCCCCATCCCATAGAGCCCCGTACAATTTAAATAGAGCGCCACTCAGCTTAAGCTAATAGCGCTTACATACAGATGTCAATCACAGAGCGTGCACGTCACACGTTTGCAGAAGTACCTAGACTGATTCAGGGTAGGTGACAATTTTTATGGACAAGTAACTCCAACTACAAACTCCAGATTTGTGCTTTCTTATTAAAAAAAACCAACATCTAAGGTTTTGGGGTCTATGCAATAATAATCAAAGTAGAAGTCATGTTTAAAACTAATAAAGTTTCCTTTTTTTCAGAGAGAAAAATTAGCTCTCCAATGATTATAAACTGTTCAAAAGTCCAGTTATAATAATATGTGATATTACACTTTAAAGAGTCAGTCAACCCTCTACCAGGGTCTTACTCCACCAATATGTCAAAAATACCGGCTAACATCGATGCTACCAGCTAGGCCAATAGCGAGGGCTAATATGGCTGAAATTCAAATGTAGATCAGTCTTTTAAGCTGAAGGAGGCGCTATACAGACGGCTTTAGGTAAAATGTTTTATTTTAAATAAGATGCACCAAAATACCAAAATAATGACTGCTTATCTCCACACCACTATTAAACATGCATTCATACAGTTTATCAGCAAAACGGCTGATTGAGAGCAGCTTGCTCTGACTGGTTTAATCTGAACTCAGACTGTGTCTTCATCAGAATAAACTTGGTTTTTAGTGGTTTTCAGCAGTACAGCTATCAGAAATTCACTGAGTTCATGAATAATGATCTGAATATTTATTGTTATTCTAATAGAGCTCAGTAGAAACGTGTACAAGGCAGAATTTTTGAGTCTATGCAGCATTTTCTGTTTCATCTGTTCTCATCAGAAATCTGTAAGTCTGCAATACGTTGAGAACCATTCTTAATATCAACAATATTCAGATAATTATGTAACTCACATTTTTAACCTTCTGACATGTATTTTCTATAAATATATGTTCCTATATTAATAATATGATTTAGTAATATATTTAAGTCCATGCCTAATGCTATCCATCATTCAGCCATGAAACACGTTGCCCCAGGAGGCTGACATGGGCCTTTAATGCGTCTCAATCCACTTAGCATCACTGACGACGGGATGATGGCCACTGAGGACAAAGAAGGAACACTTTTAGTAGTCATCTAGCCAGCTTTCAGGGTACAGAGTCGCTTCTCTGATATGTACATCACCAGGAAGACGTGGCCTTGCTTTAAACCTTGCTGTTATTTTCCAACACCTAATTAGGTTTTAGGGTTAGTATAGAAATATTGGTTTGTAAAATGTTTATTGTTGATAAATATGAATGTGTTAAATTAAATGTTTTTTATTTCTCCCTGATTCTGGTCGTTTTTAATCTTTTATAAGCTCAACCAGGCAGTGGTGCCCAAAGGGGGGCCATGGCTGCCCCTGGAAAATTGTTAGACCCCCACTGGTTCCTCTCAAGGGAAGCCCATTCCCCTACTCCCTTTAGTAAATCTAGTTTATGTTCACAAACAATTCATCAATCTTCTTTAATCAAAACAGAGATGTTCAAGCCAATAAATACATTTATTTTGTTTAAATAATATGTTTATAAATAATTTCTCAAAATTTTTTTGTGGATGTTTTTGTTGAGGCAGTAACAAACAATAAGAAATATTTTCAAAAATCCAGAAACTAAAACATTTAGGGGAAAAAAAACAGCAAAAATTTATGACAATTTGTTTTTTCTGGATTGTTTGTTTCTCACATTTGAGATAAATGTTTTGGATGCATAGGTTTATTGTTTTTTAATAAAAAAATAAAAAGAATCAAGAATGCATGCAGAGCGACAGGCTAAACTCTCCCAGAGTTGCCACACAAAACAATTTGGTGTGCCAACACAAAATCTTTACTGGCCCCCCTAAGAAATTTTCTGGGGGCGCCACTGCATCCAGTAGCAAGTGTTGCTAACTAGCTTTAGCTATAAGCTCTAAAACATGCAGCCGAGAGCTGCTTTAATCTTATTTATATTGTTTGTGTTCTCATTAAGTAAGCAGCTATAAAAACAATATTAAATAACATTCTTTGGGTTATTACTAAACCTCAGACTCTCCGTTTTATTTATCCACAGTTAACTTGTGCAACTTTCTCATTCAGGCAATCAAAGGAATTATTCTGGTGTCAAAGATGTTGTTTAGTTTTTCCACACATGAAACAAGAACCAGAGTCTTGAAACAGCCCAGAGCTTTTCTCTGAACAGTTTCTTTATATTTGGGTTTGTTTTAGGAGCCCGTAACCACCGGTAGGTGCTGCGTCCAATTCAGGATAAACGTCACAGAGAAATACCTCAAAGCTGCTGATGACATCATCCTTAAACTTCCCCAAGCTGGTGAAGTTAAAACTTTCTGATACATAGGATAGTCACTCTTTTCTTATTTGTTTCAGGTCCGAAGCTAGCTCTGGCAAGATTATTGTCAGGTAAGAAAGCAGTTTATGTATTTGTTAATCTTTCTTGTAAAAAATTGTCCACCAATCAAAACCTGAGATTAGAGTGGTTTTTAAATAGAGGAGCCACCCCTTATTAATAAAGTAGATTTGTTTTAAATAATAACATTTTATTCGCTTAGCTTTACAAAACAAACTTAGATGAGATGTTGCCTTTTCTGTCTGATTTAAATGCTGCTGCTTGTTTTCTCACACATCATTGGACCAACGGTTAAAAAAGGGTCAGCTCTGAGCCCAAGGCCACCTTACTCCACTTGTCTCTGTAACAGAACTGAATTGAAGCGGGTTTTGCGTCATCTTCAGTGATCCTGATCTTGTGGAGGATAAGTAGCTCTTTAAAATGGATTGTGTCAACATCCAGCTCCAAACAAAAAGCAGCTGCGTTACTGACCAGATTAGACTTGTCTGCAGATTTCTGACAGACAAAATGTTCTTTTTTTATTTGTTTTATCCACATCTAGCAGAAAATCTGAAGCAGCTGCTGACAGAAGAAGTTCAAATCGATCGTTTTTCTCTCCTTTGTCGCCTTGGTTTTATTAAACGGACGAGAGGACAAAACACTGGAAGCGCGTGTTCCAGCGTTGGCACAGATCTGTTCCTAAGAACGTCGTTGACGGCCTTTTATCTGGTGTGAAAAGGTTGAAATCACACACGCGCTTGACCAGACGACACTTGTCTTGTGTTTCAGAGCAGCGCTGCAGCCCCGGGCAGTTCGCCTGCCGCAGTGGGCAGATGCAGTGTATCCCCATGTCCTGGAGGTGTGACGGATGGACAGCATGTGAGGACAAAAGTGACGAGAAGGACTGCACCTGTAAGTGGAACATTTAAATCCTTCTCCAACCACCCTGCTGTCCATAAGGAGGTTAAAATCAGGAGTTTGTTTTATTTTTTGGGATGAAAAAGCTTCAGACAGCAGCAGGAGGCAGAGTTAAACTCCTTTTTAGTTTCACATAAGCGTCTCTTATTGTTTACAGTTTGTTGATCTCCTCAACAGTGTATAGATGTTTTGATGCTAAGCCTTTTGACCAAAATCCCGTTGTTTTCCTTCTAAATCCTAAAGAATTATCCCTAGATCTCTGATCGCCTAATGGGAATTACTGAACGGATTGAGTCCAGCATGTGACCTCCATACAGGAGTGGCTTTGCACGCTCCAAGTTACCGCTGCAGGCCGACATCTGATTAAAGAGCCACACTGGACTCCATTCATCTGTCAAAAAGGTCACGAGTGTTGAGCAAGAAACAGATTCAGATAAAACTTCCTGTTTTTCCCCACTTTTATTTATGCAGACACAAAGTACAACATTTTAGGGGCAAAAATGCTGATTGTGCAGAAAGGTCGCGGTTTCATCAAGAACTAGAAGAACTCAAAACCTAAACGTACCTCTGCCGGCGGCTCGTTGTTCAGTCCTTAAATAAAACGGCATGCAAGAAAGTCTGTTTGGTATTATTTCTTTGTTAAGATGAAACAGAAACACGGAGCGACCTGAGCCAAATATATCAGGTTGGCAAAAGTCCACCGGAGAGGTGAAAACAGCAGCAGCTCTGTTCGGAAATTGCTCGTTTTCAGCTCGCTCAGCCTAATTTAGTCGATGTTTTTCCCCTGCAGCTATAAAGGAGGAGAGGTTTCGCTTTGGGACCGGATACGATCAGGTCGAAGATGTCATCGGCGTGGCTCAGCCCGTGCGCTTCAACAGTAAGCATCTCACTTTTTACCCAGTTGACACCAGGTGCAGATTTTTCACATCCTTCCTGTCCACAGAAAAGTGTCCGAGCGGGTGGCACCACTACGAGAAGACGGCCAGCTGCTACAAAGTCTACCTGAGGAACGAGGACTACTGGCAGGCTGTGGACACGTGTCAGAAGGTCAACGGCTCCTTGGCTACATTTGTGACCAACGAGGAGCTGCAGTTCATTCTGAAGATCGACGTGGATTTTGATGAGAACGTCTGTGAGCGCAGAGAGCAGTGCAAGTGAGTCGTTTCTTCTTTTTGTGGTGCTTTACTCTAGCCCTTTGATGCATGAATTATGAAATATTCAACCATGATTTTTTTAACAATTTTTTTCATTCATCTTTAGGTTTGAATGAAACAAATTTCATATTTACGTATTTTTTTGTAACATTTCATTTACAAATAATTTATTACATGTCCATCTCAGTGGACAGCGTGCATTCTGAACATGAAATATGTTGGCTTGACTTACTGAAGTCCAAATGGAGGGGCTCACATGCAATAAAGTCTTCAACAGCTGTGCTTAATAGCAAAAATAAATAAATAACAATTTTGAGTACCTGTCCACTGTAGTGACCATTATGCATCAAAGGGCTAGAGAAACTCGGAGTTAATTTTAGTTTCTGATTCTGTTGTTTCCTGTGTTAAAAGTGAGAAAGGTCACAGGTCAGAGTGATGGTGTTCTGGTGTTGGTCGCAGGCCATCTAGTGGTGGAATAGATAATTTCATACGCTGAATAAATGAAGAAGCTGTGATATTTGGGTTGTTTTGTCAGGTTTTGGGTTGGTTATCAGTATGTGATCACCAATCAGAGTCACACCCTGGAAGGACGCTGGGAAGTGGCCTACAAAGGTAGTAAAATTCTGACCTTTCAGAAGGACTAACTTTGTTGTCTGAGCGTGTTTTTTATGATTTCATCGCTGTTGTGTTACCTGACAGGATCCATGCAGGTGTTTCTGCCGCCTGAAGGTCTGGCAAAGATCGGAGAGCCATCTCCCTCCCAGGACAACGTTTTCTGCGCTCAGCTGCAGCGTTTTCAGATCAAGACCATGAATGAACGGGGTCTTCACAGCTGGCATGCTGAGAACTGCTACAAAAAGTTCCCCTTCCTGTGCAAAAGGAGTACGCACTCATCATGCATCAGCCTATTTTCTTTGTTTAGTTAGAGTTGAGGGACTGTTTTGAATTTTTCTTCTTTTTTTTATAATTCACCTTTCCAGGACAAACCTGCGTGGACATAAAGGACAACGTAGTGAACGAGGGCTACTATTTCACCCCTAAAGGAGACGACCCGTGCCTGAGCTGCACGTGTCACGACGGAGAGCCAGAGATGTGTGTGGCGGCGCTGTGTGAGCGGCCGCAGGGCTGCCAGCACTTCCGAAAGGACCCCAAAGAGTGCTGCAAGTTCACCTGCCTGGATCCAGGTACAGCTGTCCCGCATGTCCCTGAAGAGACCCGCTTGATTACCAACATGCAGCCTCCAGATCGGAGCCCCACAGAATAGACGTGGAGTTTTCTCTCAAGCAGGACAAACTGCTTTATGTTCAGTGGTTTTTCTCGTCCCTCAGATGGAAACAGTCTGTTTGACTCCATGGCGAGCGGGATGAGACTGATTGTCAGCTGCATCTCATCCTTCCTCATCCTCTCTCTGCTGCTCTTTATGGTGCACAGGCTCCGTCAGAGGAGACGTGAGCGCATCGAGACGCTGATTGGAGGAAACTGTGAGTCTGAAGGCTGTTGGGTGGTCAAACCAACCGAAACAAATGCTGCTCTTTAGTTTATTTTCATTTGATGAAACACCTGTGATCAAGTTATTTAAAATCACGGTTTTTGTTTTCAGCTGTTTTAAAGGCGCATTATGTAGAAATGCAGTAAAAATTACATCCTGTGGTAAAATTTGGTTACTGCGACAACTTTAAACAACTCTGGAGCTTTTTGCCAGCCATCGTCAAATTACAGTCACTGTAAAAGCCTTACTATATTCTTACATACTGCACCTTTAACACAATCATCTGCATTTATTTACAGTGCATCACTTTAACCTTGGAAGGCGAGTCCCGGGCTTTGACTACGGCCCGGACGTCTTCGGCACAGGCCTCACCCCTCTGCATTTGTCTGATGATGGAGAAGGAGGAGCTTTTCATTTCCAGGAGCCTCCTCCCCCCTACGCTGCCTACAAATACCCCGACATCCAGCACCCAGACGACCCCCCTCCTCCGTACGAAGCCTCCATCAACCCAGACAGCCTTCACTATGTGGACTTTGGTAGGAACACACCCTTTCATGGGGTTGGTTAATTAATCTCACCATTAATGTGTCATTGCTGTCGCCTCCAGGACACAACGGCGTTTCCATGGTGCCGAGCCAGGTGAACACCATGGGAGACCACAGGCTCCAGGTCGATATTCCCAGCGCTCCCGGGCCTGTGCAAGTTTCAATGCCGTCTTCTCAGGAGAGGGAGGACTCCATAGACAGCAGCACCCTCCTGGTGGGGCCTGACACACCCACAGACGGCCACGCCCCCACCCCTATCTCCGCGGACTGCACCTCCTCTCTCAGCACGGTGGTATAGGAGCGTGAGCGGACGTTTCTGACTCAACGTTTGTACAGACACCTCAAAACGTGGAGCAGCTGTTTTTTTTTTGTTTTTTTTTTCCTCCAGATAAAATATTTTTTTGAATAGAAACTGAAATCTTTGGGATAAAAGATGACATTCTGTACAGAGGGGGAAAAAACTCCCTAATCAGGCTGAAACTTTGATTTTTTTTTATTTTTCTTTTTAGTTTTTTGTGCTGACTTTAAAAAAAAAGCTGAGAACTTGCTTAACTGGATGAAGAACCCTGCTATAAATGTTTCCTGAGGTTAGAACATTATTGCCCACGTGCGTTGGTCCAACACGGCGAAGAAGCACAGCGAACCCGGCTTTTGTTGCTCGTGCGCTTTCTGTTAGCATCACGCTTTGAAACCGATGCGTCTGTACTGACCTCCAGGCTTCAGTAACATCCCGACTCTTTACCGCTGCACGACCCTGATCTGGGTTTCTTTTTGCTCATGAAAACCTCCTCAGCCTCTCACTTTTGCGATCCGACACACAAAGCTGTCTTCCACATTTCTAGCTCATATCTGAAAAAGAAAAGTTCAGAGGTTAACCTTGCCAGAAGGAGTGTGTGTTCTGCTGTTTTGGGGGGTTTTATCAGGTGACGCTGACAGAGTTTTAGGTATCAGACAGCTGTGGAGCTGATTCTGAGTTTGGTTTTGTGTTCTCTTTGATCATGCGTGACTGGGTTGTGGGATAGATGTAGGCTGATTTGGATCAAAGAAGAGTTGAAGACTTTTTAAGTGTGTTAAGTTTCCTCTTTAAATTTAAAAATATAAATATGAATTTGTTTTAAACGACTGAATCGAGTCACGTGTTACGGTTTCATTCACAGGGAGGATGTACAGGCCTGAAGTGTGTGGAGCTCGGTTTATCATCTTGTTTTCACTCTTCGGTAAAATCCTCCTTTAGCTTTGATGGCTTGATTCTTTGTCTCGTTTTAAAAGAATTGTGTTTAGAAAAAAAAAGTTCACATAAGTCGTTTGTTTGGAAGCAAAAAGATGACAATCGTCTGATTTATGTGACGGATTTTACAAAGCTAGAAGTAGTTTCTGGGCCGGTGAGGCTCCACCACCAGCATCCAAACCCCTGCTCATTACCACCCCCCACCCCCCAAAAAAAAGAAAAACGCTGTAAATGTGTGTCACTGCACATTTCATGTTTGAATGTACTGAATGTAAAATACATGATTCTTTGTGCTCACCTTTAAGCTCATTTCCTTCATTTTTAAAAATCTCTTCGCTTTGACAATCCACTGCTTTCATAGGCTTGTTTGGAGCGTGCACGTGGGATTCAGACTCCTCTGCTATATGGGGCATGTGTCTAAGTTCTAGCATGCTTAACGATCCCACTTTTTCATTTCATTTTCTTTTAATATTTTTATTTCCGGATGGACTTTTAGCTCAACAGTAGGCCAAATCTGCTGATATAAACGCCACGCTTCACCTGAACAGCTCCGTTTACACTGTAGTTTCTGTGCTTGAAAACAGTTAAAGGGGGGTGAAATGTTTTATGTGTAATACAACTAATGCTACATTTCATTGTCTCCTATTTGATAGCTTTTAAATTAAAAAGGAACAAAAAACTTGCAGAGTTTGCTGTGGGTGACGAAACAAAACAAAATCTTTGAATGAACTTAATGAGCTGATTTTCTTCCCAGCTGCTTCACGCTGCAGCTACGAACCGCTCCAGCTAAAGCAGGAGATCACGTTCTGATGAAGCCAACAGGACCACATCATCTGCAAAAAGCAGAGACCCGATCCACCAAAACATCATCCCCTCAACACCTTGGCTGAAATCCTAGAAATCCTGTCCATTAAAGTTATGGACAGAATCGGTGACAAAGGGCAGTCTTGGCGAAGTCCACCTCTTACCGGGAACATTCTCAACTTTCTGCTGTTAATGCGGACCACGTTCTGAAACCGGTTATGCAAGGACCTAACAGCCTGTATCAGAGGTCCTAGTTCTCCATACTCCTGAAGTACCCCCCCAGGGAAGTGGTCGAACACCTTCTCCAAATCCACAAAACACATGTAGATTGGTTGGGAGTACTCCAACACCTCTCAGCCTCAGACAACTTGGTACCATTAAAATGACTTTTGCTCTCTCCTTCTTTACCTCCACCTGACTACTTCTTTTTTTATTGCTGTTTTTGTGTTTGCTGCAACTACTCTGCTATTCCACAGCTCACCGCTGGAAAAACACGGTGTCACTTGAAGGCATTAAACCGTTTTTCCGTGGCTACGGTACTCACAAGCATCTTGATTACAGTCTTGGGTCCCAAGGTTGCCTATGAAATGCCACAAATCACCTTTTTTTTAAATATTCAGAGTAGAAGTTATTTTGCATTGACCTTTTATGGCAGAAAGTGGGTGTGTATGAGGTGTGTATAATCAAAAAAACACCTGCGCACGTTTGTAGGACAGGTGTGATTTCTAAAGTGGCTGTGCTCAAGCAGTGTGAGTACTTTTTTTTTTTTTTTTTTTTTTTTTGCTGAGCTTTAGTAAAGGTTTAGTAAGGGTTCCATAGAAAGTTATCTAAATGAGGCCCCAGCTCCCTGCAACCCTTCTGAAGGTGGAGCAGTTAAGATGTTGGATGGATGATTGGTCTTCTTCCACAATTCAACACATCAAACCATTGGGATTTATACTTTTTTGAAAATGGTGAACTTCAGCGACATACATATATCTATGTATGTTTGTTTTCTAAAATACATTTACTGGTAACAATTTTTCAGGAGTGGACATGCGACTGCCAAATCAGTGCTTATCCTGCTCGACTTATCGGCTGCATTTGACACTGTCAACGATGGGTTCCTTTAGTCAACACTCTCTAGCATGGGCATAACAGCAAAAGCACACGCCTGGTTTGAATCGTGCCTCACAGGACGATCGTTCAGTGTATCTTGGCTTGGACAATCCTCTACCGTGCACCATCTTGCCACAGGAGTCTCCCAGGGCTCTGTACTAGGACCTCTTCTCTTTGCCATATACACCACCTCACTGGGTGAGATCATTCAATCACATGGCTTCTCCTACCACTGCTATGCAGACGACACCCAGCTCTGTCATTTCCACCGGACGACCACACTGTCTCTGCACGAATACCAAACTGTCTCTCTGACATATCAAAATGGATTAAATCCCACCATCTCCAACTCAACCTCTCTAAAACTGAACTACTTGTCATCTCAGCAAAACCATCCATACCGCACAATATCTCAATCCAAAATGACTTCCTATCTCTGGCTCCTTCAAAGGCAGTTCGAAATCTCGTTGTTGTGATTGATGAACACCTGACCTTTAAAGATCATGTTACCTCTGTTGCTCGTTCATGCCGCTTTGCGCTGTATAACATACGAAAGATCAGACCATACATAACACAACATGCCACCCAGCTCCTGGTGCAATCTACAGTCATCCCCCGCCTCGATTACTGCAATGCCCTTCTAACTGGTCGTCCAGCTTGTACTGTGAGACCTCTTCAAATGGTCCAGAACACAGCGGCGCGTCTGGTCTTCAATCAGCCAACAAGAGCACACATCACCCCTCTGTTCATTGAGCTCCACTGGCTACCGCTAGCTGCATGCATCAAATTCAAATTGCTAACACTAGCATACAAAGTCCGAGATGGTACGGCTCCAATCTACCTGAATCCTCTTGCAAAGAATTACGTCTCGGACCGGCCGCTCCGGTCATCACAGGATCGTCGGCTAGCAGTGCCTACACCACGCTCAGGACAATCCAGACTCTTCTCATGCATCGTTCCACAAATGTGGAATGACCAACCAAGCACTACCAGAACAGCGGCTTCCTTTTCAATTTTCAAGAAACTCCTGAAGACCCTGCTCTTCAGAGAGCATCTTCTTAACCAGCACCCTCCCTGCACCCGTCCCCCCTCTCTACTGTCCACTCCTTGTTCCCTCCTCTCCATGATTGATGTCAAGTTGTTGTTATTGTTGTTGTTAGCCTCAAGGGCAACATGCTGATTATCACTTGTAAGTCGTTTTGGACAAAAGCGTCTGCTAAATACATAAACATAAGCATGCTCCCCCTGGCCACCCCTTGGGGGCACCACTGCCAAGGAGGTCACTAGAAATGACAATTTAGTTTGTGCTGAGCAGTTGTGAGGTTACCAAATGTACATAAATACATTTATGAAACCCCAATAACACACCTAATGTCAATCAATGAGAATAGGAACAAAAACATACAACTGCTATTATTTTCTAATGTATATAAATAATCACTTTTAATGTGTTGTATGGAGTTAGTTTGGGGTTGGGGTCATGGCTTGTCTTGGACACAGGAAAGGGGGCCCTCTGAGCTAAAAGGTGCATTAGATAATTAGTTTTGATTGAATCACTTCTGTGTTTAATCACTGATCCATTAAGGATGACTCATTTACCATCTTGACATTTCGCCACTTTGTGTATCTTGTTGAGGAAATTCTTCCAGCTGCTGCAACAGCCAAATGTCATGCAGGTTTAAGTTGAGATGTGGGGAAATCCCCTCTCTTACTCCTCTTTTTGTCTGAATCCAATCCTGGAACATCAAACGATTTTGAATGATTTTTAGGTAAGAGAGTAAAAAGCACCTCAGAGTGAGTCACTGGGTCGGAGGCGGCGCAGGGAGAGTGATACCCAGCTGGGGAGCACGGCCCATGGAGAAAAGAGGCTTTGTTCCTACTGGTCAAGTAGTGACAGAATCGGATGATCTATTCCTGGATGGGAGGGATGAAAATCTGATGCTGAGCATTTAATGGAGACTTTTGATATTTATTAGACTTTATTAAAAAAAAAAACTTTAGTTTAAGGTTAATCCTGAAGTAGTTTTAACACATCAATACAATGATTTGATCAGTTTTATATGCTCACTTTGCCTAAACTACATCTATAGTGATCTGCCCATCCTCTGGTTTCCCCATGAGATGAATGGGTCTTGTTATTAGTCACTGAGCATCTTCGCTGGCTGCAGCAGAAAGGAGGAGGAGGGAGCTGTCCTCGCATCAATGAGCCTGTTGATCAGAAAAGACCATTGGACTGGTAATGACACAGTTCACCGATCAGTCCAGGAGAAAATAAAACTCTGCTTTCATCCTCCTCCCCTCCTTAAGCCGGACGTCCTCGCAGGTTGATTCAGTCTACCTCAGATACGACACCTGATCAGACGACCATGGTTTGGACCGCAGCCTTCCTCATGATCTTTGTTCTTTGCGCTGGTTCAGGTGAGAATTTTTGCATTTTGAGTTAAAAATGACCAAATATCAAAATTGAAAATGAACACAAGTTTGTTTGGTGTTTGTATCTTTCAGAAGACTACTGTTATGATGAGCCTCACTGTGGTGAGTCATTCATTTATTCTCAGAGAACAGATTTATTTTTCTTTCTAAGTATTCAAACTCAACAGAACGTCAGTAGTTAATTAAGCAAATTAAACACAAGAAAACAAACTCAAGAAAAGCAGAAAAAAGGTGGAAAATATCTAAGTTTGTTTGGTCATTTTGCAAAGATTCACCCAAGCATCTGTAATTTTCCATCTTTCAGTTCTTTTTAAAACACAGAAAAGGTTTAATTACGTAATTAAACCTTTTCTGTGTTTGAAAAAGAACTGAAAGATGGAATTTGAAACTAAAAACAGCAAGAACACACCAAAGATCTGTAATTTTAGTCTGGAAATTTAAATACAATGTCAAATTTTCAAGTTTTTGACCAAAATTAAATATCCTGAACATAGTTTTAGATGTTTGGTTCAAGAAGAAGATCATGACCAAGAAAAGCTGTGGGAACCAGCTTGTCTGGGGTAAGTGAGGAGTTCAGTCTTATCGTCATTCAGCTGTAGAAAGCTCCCAGCCATCCAGGTTTTAATAGTCTAAACAGGAGTGTAACAGCTGCAGCTTAGACATCCCATGGGGCTTAAAGGAGATGTACAGTTGGATATCTTCTGCGTAAAGATGGTAGGAGATTCCTTTAAAAAAAAGCTCAACAAGTTCTGGAGAGAAAGCAGATAAAGGATAAACAGTAGAAGCCCCAGTACAGAACCTTGTGGGACGCCATGGGTGAGGAAGGTGGTGGAGGATGACAGAAACTTGGAGACAGCCAGAGAAGGAACACTCAGACAGATAGGAGGAGAACCACTCCAAAGCAGATCCTGATAGGCCTACCCAGTCTCTCAACCTCTCCGGTAGCAGGTGATGGTCAACAGTGTCAAAGGCTGCAGTCAGGTCCAGCAGGACCAGAACAGAACAGTCCCCTGCCTCACTGAGAGTCAGAAGGTAATTAGAGACCCTAAGAAGAGCTGTTTCAGTAGAATGAGCTCCATGAAAACATGACTGTAAACTATCATAGATGTTACGTTCATCAAGAGCAGCTGAGATGAGTTGAACAGTAGTTTAGAGATGGGTCTGAATGGGGTTTTCTTTTAAGAAGCATGTGGATTACAGCATTCTTACAATAAGCAGGGACCTGAACCTGGTCTCTACCAGGGAAGCATTAATTATAGAGAGGATGCTGGGACTGATGGACTGAAACCAGTTAAAACAAAGATGAGGGTAAGATGCTGAGGGGTAGGCAGAGGTTTTTGTTGGTTAGCTCAGGCAAAGAGACAGGAGCAAAGCTATCTAAAAGACAAGCCTGGCTGGAGTCGGAATAGCAGCAATAAGGGAGAGATCTAGCCTTATTGACTTTATCCTCAAAGATAATAATAATACATTTTATTTAAAAGCGCCTTTCTGGTCACTCAAGGACTCTGTACAGAATAAAAACAAAATCATTCAATAAAACAAAGTAAACATACGTAAACATCAGCAAACAAGGCACTCTAAAATTCAAAGTTGCTATGTGGTTATGAAGAAGTGAGTTTTGAGTTGTTTTTTGAATTCTGTGAATGAGTTAATGTTCTTGATGAGAGGGGGAAGGGAGTTCCAGAGTTTGGGAGCGGTGCAGCTGGGGGGGAGGATGATGACTGGAAAACTGAAAGAAGAAAATAACTAAAGCGAAACAGCGGCGCCACTCGCCAGACCACAGAGCACAATCTAAGAGAGAGCAGGGAAAAGGTACAAGTAAACAACTTATATTTTTGACCAAGTCTGGAGAAGGTGAGGGAGACGAGAGGGAATGAGGAGGAGGAAAAAGGCGAGCGAGAGAGAGAGGAGAGTGCGACGAAGACGGTGAGAAAATGAGCGACAGCAGTCGGAAAGTTGAGATTTCTTAAAGTGTTCCGTAAATAAATCCATATAAATGATAAGTATTTGATATATTGCATTTTTTACATTAGTAAATCATTTTACATATAGTTTTGCATTATTTTTGGTTATAAATGTACTCTACGCAACAGAAATTCTGAGGAGCCACTCGGGAGCCGAAAGAGCCGGCTCTTTTTGGTGAGCTGAGCCAAAAGAACTGGCTCTCTAAAAAGAGCCGCAATTCCCATCACTATTGAGCAGAGCTCCCTTTTATACCCACAGCGCCCTCATGAGTACTGAAGCGGGTATGCGCCAACCCACCTAATTTGGAGCAGGCTTGTTTCATCCTGCTACAGTGATTAATTACAGACAAAAACAAATAAAACATCAACCTCACTGGCCACTGTAGTACTCAGATCCTTCAACAGGGGGCAGGAGAAGTTAAACTTCACAGCATGGATGGATGGTTTTGTTGGCTGGCTGGTTGGTTAAGGTCTCTCAAAACTGAAAACAACTTCAGAATAAAACAGAATAAAAGAATAGTCATTTTTAATTCTGTTATTTCATTTTGCCAAATTTCTTAGCTTAAAAGTCTCGTTGGTGCTTGCGTGGCTCTGGATTTACCCAGCTTTCCTCTCCTCCACCAGATCCTTACGCTTGGGGAGACTCATTCCCTTTGTGTCACCCTTTACTTGAACACCATCACTCCCCCATCAACCTGGACCAGCACATGATCAGGAATGACTCCCTGGGACCTTTACAGCTGGAGGGCTTTGATGAGATCCAAACGGGCCACTGGACGTTAGAAAACGACGGACACTCTGGTGACTCCTGTGCAGGTCTACTCCTAGGTTATTTTGCTGTGTGAAATGTTGAGTGTGACGTTTGTGTCTCTACCAGTTGTGCTACAGGTTGGCAGCGGCATGGAGGTGAGTGGTGGTGGCCTCCCAGATGTGTACTACACCGTCCAGCTGCACTTCCACTGGGGAGGTCCGGCCACGAACGGTTCTGAACACACAGTGGACAGACGCCGATACCCAATGGAGGTACAGTACGGTCAGTAGGCAGCGCTACACTGTCACAAGATTAACACTTCAGCAAACCGTCACAGTGCAGCCGTCCCTTAAAGTGTCCGTGTGCTCCCAGATGCACATCGTCAACATGAAGTCCATTCACCCAAACATGTCTGCTGCTCTGGATGATCCAACGGGACTTGCTGTCCTCGGCTTCCTCGTAGATGTCAGTAACATGAAATTTGCAGGATTTTTCTCTAAAATGTCACTGACTTATCTTACTCTTGCAGGTTGTTTACGCAGACAACGTCCACTTTGGGCACATATCCCAAAAGCTTTCTTCTGTTGCTTACAAAGGTCAGAGAGGTCAAATTTCATCGTTTGCTGAAACAAATGTTTTCTTCATGGATTCTGCATCTTCTCTGCAGGCCAAACGACTAAAGTGAAACCATTTCCTCTGCTGAGCCTGCTGCCCAAACACAACATGAGTCAGTATTACCGTTACTACGGCAGCCTCACCACCCCTCCATGCTCTCAAGCAGTTGTTTGGACTTTATTTGAGGTTCCCATCTACATCTCGTGGTCCCAGGTACCAGATTTTAATTTGTGCAAAACACTTAAATCAATTTCTATCTTGTTTTGTTTGACAAAATCACAACTTTTTTTTCTCAGCTGGCTCAGTTTACCTCACAGATCTTCTCCACGAAAGAGGACGCAGAGCAGGTGACGCCGCTGCAGAACAACTTCAGACACATCCACCCCACCTTCAGCCGCACCGTGACGGCCTCCAGAGATGCCAAACTCCTCACGGGGACGGCCGGTCAGCCGCCCAGGTTGGCAGCGTCAGTGCTTCTGCTACAAATCGTTTTATGTGGAGGCTTCATGTTTAAACTTTAGAGTGTTGAGTTGAAATCACTCAGCAGGAAGTTGTTTTTCTGTTCCAAAACTCCAAATTCCTCAAATCTTTATGGCGTTTTAACAAGTATGTGTCTGTCGTGTACTATTCTTCTGATGAACTACTTTTTACTGGATAATGGATCTGAAGATGAAGTTTCTTTTAACAGATTAGTGAAAAGTTCATTTCTGTAGTTCATTTCACTCAAAAACAACATTTATAAGAGATTGTTTTGATATCTGAATATGAGAGAAAGTGAAACAATTCACCAGCAAGAGGTCAGACTTTATAAAACTGTGAAACAAACAAAAGTACTGTACGTGTTATTTAATGTATTTACAGTTATTTAACTTTAACTCTGGAGCCAACAGTTTGATGTGAAGTGAGCAGGAAATGTTTTATTTTCCTACACATACATGAATTTCTAACCAACTGGTGCTCATTGCTTTCTTTGTTTAATAAGTGCAACTCATCATTAACAATATTAAGCTTTTTCTTTCTTAGTTTCTGCAAAAATTTTCAACGATTATTTAAAATTTTAAAAATGTACTAAGTAGAGTAAGAACGTGCAGTTAAGGTTATATATTACAGATGCAAACAAGACAACTGCATTCCAACTTTTTGTAAAATGATTAGAAATAAACAGTGAAAAAAAAAATTCCTAATTTTAACAGATTCCCTCTGAAGATGGTAAAATACATCTTTGGGAATCATTTAAGCATGAAAATCTGCAGAAAATCCTGTGAATTACTGAATTTATAGGAGTATAAAGTTAAACAACTTCCGGAAATAATAAATAGAAAATATAACAAATGACAGTTTCTCACTTTCATTTGTTTTTATTTTCAATTCTGCTTAATCACAATCTTCTCTTACACATATAAAATGGATTTTTGTTTTATTTGTAACGTCCAGCAATGGTCAGAATGTGCATGTGTTCCCTTTAAATGAGCCTGACTTCATAGCAGCTCACAGACTCTGCAAGTCTGAAAGATAAACAATAACTTTCATTCCCAAGGTCCCATCTGTCTGTCTCCACAGAAGGAACAACTCCAGCTCGAATCAGTAGCTAAAATCAAGAATGATTTCCTAAATCAATATGAACTTCTTCTATGACTTATAATCTAGATAATCATCAAATAAACATTTATTTATTACTACTTATAATAATTATAGTATAATGAAATGCTTCATTAATCTGTGCTCACTGAAGGATGTTATATTATGTTTGTCTACTAGAACCTGCCAGGTGTTCAACATGTTTTGACAACGAGGTCCTCACACCTGGATCCACACAATAACAAGTAAAGTTAAGTTAAACTCCAACACATAACTTGCCCCTTTAACCTGTCAGAACATCCTGTATCAAGAAGGTGTGTTTCTGAGTTGTCTTGGTAACAGCTCCCAAGCTGTCAGCCTCTGATTGGCTGTGCAAATCATAACATCTAAACCTTAAAACTGGAGCATCCTGAGTGATTCGACAGTTCTAGAGAATCGCTCAGACCAGCCATCTGTAGCAAAACCTCTTTAACCATCAAACATTTTGACACGTCGTCAAAACCTTTTTTACACCTGCAAAGCTGATGAGCAAACAGTTCCTGCAGAAACAAAGCTGATATTGTTAGACTCCTTAAGAGTCCGCCAGACGCACGGTTCCATCCAGCTGTTGTGACCCGAGACATCTCTGGACTGAAAAGTCGGTACCACTATATTCTACAGCCCTCCGGTGCCAGAGGTCAGTCGACCCCTGCGACTTTCGGATCCACCAAGAGGGTCTCTCAAAAACGGGTGAAGCAGACATGACAGATCGCGTCTGATGTTCTTCTGATGATAAGAACTTTATAGCTTAGAGCAAACCAAATTCTTTTCACCAGAACTCAGCTTACTTTGATAAGGAAGCTCTGACTGACATCGCATTCACTCATAGGTTCCTTCATCATGTTTAGTTGCATCCACTCACAGTAAATGCTTAGTTAATTAGTCATGTTTTAAATTGTTTGTAAAATAAATTCTTACTTTTATAAACCTGACTTTTTCTTGAAATAGCACGAAGTGTGGTTGATCACTGAAAAAGCAAAGAACCTAGATCTTCTGAATTAAATCCTAGAATCTTCTGAATAATTACAATGAAGACCTCGCAGGTTAATATTTTATATTTACATAGAATATTACATCTTCCTGGTCTTTACAAATAAAAATCATTGATTTGCCTACGCTACATATTTAAGTAAACAATAGTTTTTATAATAACTGGACCTTCGGTTTAATCTGAAACATTTAAATAAGGTATTATTCAATCATGCCAACGGGGTAAAATCAGAGTAAACAAACACTTGCAGGGAGAATTAAAGGCAAGCTTTTTAATTCATGAATGACAGTGTTAAAACTCACAGTCTGACTTGATTTTTACAGAATCTTTGTGCATTGTGGTGCGACGGTGGCACAGGAGTTAAGTGCTCGCCCCGTAATCGGAAGGTTGTAGGTTCGAGCCCCACTCAGTCTGTCGCTGTCGTTGTGTCCTTGGGCAAGACACTTAACCCACCTTGCCTGCTGGTGGTGGTTGGAGGGACCGGTGGTGCCAGTGCTCGGCAGCCTCGCCTCTGTCAGTGCGCCCCAGGGCAGCTGTGGCTACATCGTAGCTCATCCCCACCAGTGTGTGAATGTGTGTGTGGGTGAATGACTGATTGTGTTGTAAGGTGCCTTGGGGGGTCCCAGGACTCTAGAAGGTGCTATATCAAAAACAAGCCATTTACCATTTACCATTCTAACAATAAAAAGCATCATTCTCTGTCACTCTTTTACAAATTATTTTTTCAGTATTAATCTCTAAATAATGAAGTTGTTTGGAGAGAAGTGGTTCAGCATGGCAGTGGTCTGGTCATGACCTGGGCTTGTGAATAGATTGGTTAAATCGCTGCAGGTATGTGGAAGCAACTATCACATCAAATCAATGAGAACATATGGAGCAGCAGATCGTCTCTTAAGGTGACACCACAAAGGCAGATCCAAGAGCCTAGGGCATTCACAAAATCACAGTGCCATCTTGTGGTGAAACCTTGAACAAGAAAGTTGCTTAAACTGCCATTACAAACATCACTGATAAGGCATCCATGTACAGGTCAGTGGCTGCGCCAGGGGGGCACTAGAGGGCGCTATAGCTACCCCTGGATAAGTCATTGCATCCCCCAAGTAAATATCAGATTTTTTTTTTTATAATTTAATTTTAATTTAACGTGTGGATGTGATAATATTTAACATACAAAACAAAAATAATCAGTAAATTATCATGCAGATAGTAAAAACTTAAACCAAAACAGGGAATTGATGTTAACCTTTGACCTCATTTTCCACCTACGAACGAGTGAAAGGTAGAGCTAGTGGTAAAATGGATCGGTTTTTGTTGCCCAAATTTCCACAGGTTCAGTCAGAAACAAATGAATCTTTGGAAGTGATCGCAGACCCACAAAAACCTATGGATCTGGATGGGGAGAGAGTCAACCCTAAACCGCCGCAGCAGTCAAGGGTTTTGCCGCTGGAAATGCTAACACTAACGCTAGCTAAACTTGCAACACTATAGATGGTTTTCTGTGTGGCTGTATGTGTTTATGATTTCATGGAAAAGTCAGCGATTGTTCATATGTTTATGATGTATATTAATGATTGTTTCAGGTGTTGTTGAGATTTTGTGCACGCATGTGTATCTGCTAGTGTTGAAGGTGTTTTAGAGAACAATAGGTACGCGTGACCACTTCCTTCATAGCACCCTCAATAAAAAGACTAGCTCCTTCATAGCACCTGCAGAAAAAATTTTCTGAAGCCGCCACTGGTACAGGTTAAAAAGAAGAGATAGAATACCTCCTTGTCTGACTCCATTACTGACCTTAAATGGCTCTGAGATACTGTCTGTTACCCCATTTTATCAGTACCTTGCTAACCATACCAATAAACCAGGATGTGTACAATGTATCCTGGGACACCTCTTTACAGCAGCTTCATTAATAGTTTCTTATGGTTAACTCTATCAAATGCCTTAGATGCACCTATGAAGCACATGGAGACTGAGGAGTTCTGGTTTCTGTATCTGGTCACCATCTCCTCTAGAACATGTATACACATCTGTACCAAGCTTAGACTTAGAGCCAAACTGATTATCTGTGACTTTTAAGGTGTTATTAATTCTGTCCAGCAGAACTCTTTCCAAGACTTTAGAAAGTATGCTAGCCAGAGCAACGGGTCTATAGTTATCCATGCTACCAACTCCCACCCTGAAAGGCGTATAGCTAGGAGTGGTGCTAAGCTACCGCTAGCATACTTTAGGTGTTCAGCAGATATGCCATCCAACCCAATGGCTTTATCATTAGACAGTTTAGTAATGAATGCCATGTGACATGATTAAATCTATACCCATTTTGTAAGGTTCACTTGGTACACAATTATACAAGTCGTTATGATGTCTCCACAGCTTTTCAGTTCGAGACTCCATCGACCACACGGGATGAGTGTTTTTCTTCCAGAGTGTCTTGCTTCTTTCCAGAAGTTTTTCCTGTTGTTATTAAGGAGTTTCAAAGACAGAGACGTACCACATTTGTATTCAGCATTTGTAGCCCTCAAAGATGCCCTTCTTAGAGAGGGTGGCCAGTCTATAACTTTCCTAGTAATTTCACTCATTTTCTTCAGGCATGAGCACACACTCCAGATTTATTTTTAACTCAAATGTTTAAACGTTAAGCTAGAGCGTTAATTTTGATCTCAGTGATTGTTGAGATAGAAACTTGACCAGTTTAAAATTTTGCACCACTCTGTAGCCCTCTGCTGACCAAAAACCCGCAATTGATAGTTTTGTGGAGCAGGTAGGTGTCCTATAGGGGGCACTCTTTACCTGCTTTACAGCTGTTGAAGAAGAAGAAAATATCATTTCTATAGCGCCTCTCAAGATAAAAATCACGAGGCGCTTAATTAATGTAATTAGCATTACAGCTTGTTAGCTGTAATGCTAATGGTTAACATTTTCAGTTTGTGGATCATCAATAAAAAGCACAACAAGTAGAAAAAGAATATGCTTGCTTTTTTGTTGGCATCATGGCAGGGCCTGGAAGTAAAAGTAAGAGAGTAATGTCTGTGGAGGTGAAGCAAAGAGCTAAAACCAGCGTGAACATCAGCACAGCCTATGCTAGTTTGAGGGCGTTAAAGAAGGCTACAAAATCACAGACTGATGGTGACCTGGCTTTGTTGCTATTGGACTTGTAAGTAATAATGTTTTTTGTCCAACAGTGTGAATCTTTTTACTGTGTGGGTTATTTTAGTATTAGTTAGCTTGTTGTTAGAGCTAGCTACAACAGGCTACAGCATGGTTGTTTACAACAGTTGTATTTCCACTTTCTACCAGTAGGGCAGAGGAGCAGCAAGATTGCTGCTACATTAAATAAGTACGGACGAAAGTTAGGGCCCCTGAAAAGGAAAAACAAAAAGAAATAGAATTCTGACTATTTTCTCAGGATTCTGGCTTTAATAATCCTGAGATTAAAATCAGAATTATTTTCAGCTGCCCTAATCCTCTTTTGTAATTGACGAGAAGTTAAAAGTGAATAAGTCTGAGGTAAAGATGACATTTTTCACTCATGATGAACATGAACCATTTCCTGTTTGATAAGAAAACGTCATGCTGTGGCTTTGGAGCTGGATAAAAGGGGTGCAACAGAACAAAAAGCAGCCTGGCTAGAGTGATGCTGTCTGACCAATCAGACGAGTCAGCGCGGAGGCGTGTGCTGTGTGTGTGTCCTCAATGTTCAGTAGATGGGGTCACACCATCTCACACACACACACACACGCGCACGCACGCACACACACACACACACACACCTTTCTAGTGCTAATCAGATCCTTTAGGTCAGCACTTTTACAGCTACACATTACTGTGACACTCACTCTGAAATATACTCAACGAAAATATAAACGCAACACCTTTGTTTCTGCTCCAATTTTTCATGAGATGGACTTAAAGATCTAAAATTCACTCCAGATACACAATATTACCATTTCTCTCAAACATTGTTCACAAATCAGTCTAAATGTGTGATAGTGAGCACTTCTGCTTTGCTGAGATAATCCATCCGACCTCACAGGTGTGCCACATTAAGATGCTGATGATGCTTGATGTGGCATCTCATGAAAAATCGGAGCAGAAACAAAGGTGTTGCGTTTATATTTTTGTTGAGTGTTTTTATGAGCTTCTTTATTCTGAAACACAACAAATGGTTTTAGTTCTGTTTCTATTTACAGCTGAATAAATATCTTCTGGCATATTTAGTCAAAATCAAATTTCAAACTTCAGTTTTCATCCCCTAAAACTCCTCTAGAGCCCTGATTATCCCATAACTTTTTACAAACCTAAACTCACATTAAACACAGGGAAGTACTAAAATATTAAGTATTTGGAATCAATTAACCATTCTAAATAGATCTTATTTTTGCAAATTAAAAAGTGTTTATTCTTTAAAAGCATGATTTAAACTTATGAAGTGTTTTTTTGTAGTTGTGTCAATACATTTCCTGATTCCGCTTGTGTAAAAAAAAATGATCAGGAGGATTTATGTTATGTGACGAGTGAGTGCTTATTTCAAATAAAAGCTTTTTAATAAAATATGTAATGACTGCCCTGCTGCTTTTTAAGAAAATGCAGCAAAAGTGTGACAGTTTGGGATCCGATCAGAACCTGTCCTGCTCTACAGCTAATAAACAAACAACCACCTTTTTAAGGATGTATGCAAAACTTCTTTATTTCAGTTCTTTTCCTCTGTCATACATTTGTCATATAATAAATAGACACAAGAAACCGGCTGAGGCTTCAGTCCTCTTTCCAGTGCCGATTCTGCACCTTCTTTTTTTATTTATTTGAATTCTCCACACCGCAAAAAACCTTTTCATAGAATTTACAACACAAAGTTTAAAAAACAAAGGAGCTTGACACAAGCTGATTTTTCTGCTACCAGCTCAGAGCTCTCCTCATTATGATACATAGACGTCTGAGCCGTGTTCAAGTAGCGCATCCCGAGAAACAAATATATATATATATATATATTTATATAATATTCACAGTTAGATACTTACACATTTTAGCATCTCAAAGTAAACAGACAGAAAAATGAAGACGTTTCTACAAGAAACAATCTTTCCAAAAGGGAAGTGGAGACTTTTTTCCTGTACACATGCTGGACCTTTTTCTCTTTAAATAAACAACCTCTAAACCAACCGATTCTGTTCACAGAACCCTGAAAATATTTTAAATATTCAGTCTTTGTGTTTTTTTTAAATAAAAAGAGAAAGAAAGACGCATCTTAAAAGTGTTTTGTTTGTGAAGATAAAAAATCTTCTGTACAAGTTTTCATTTACAATATGAACACCAGTGTTGGAAAACTCAACAAAAACCAGCTTTTTTAACCCAAACAAACGAAAGGGGGAAAAAAAAAGCAACAACTGACTTGGACTTGAGAAGCAGAAGTGCCAGACCTCCAGAACTTTTTTAAATCCTGATAAATAGTAAATAATGAGTGAGCGGGGAGGTGTAGGAGCCTCTGACGCCGCTGGGAACGTTAAACAGAGGAGGGAATATGAGTGAAGCCAAAACAGCAGCAACATCAGGTTTAACACATCTGTATGGCACGCAAAATGAAAAATAACTTTCGCTCAAAGCTGGGGGGCATAGATGAGCTTGTTCAGTGATTTTGTATTTTTCTGCACTAGGTTAGTTCTGCTGGGTGGCCACCAGGGGGCAGTGCCCTCAAAACAGCGAAAGAGATACTCTGAATGAAGCATGCGCCGCACACACACACACACACACACACACACACACACACACACACACACACACACACACACACACACACACACACACACACACACACACACACACAGTGTCTTTACAGAAACAAACCAGCTAAACAATTACGATTAACGAAAATTTTGCAGGTCTTTTTCCAAACTTGTTGCATAAACAAACAGGAAGCAGCACGATCCGTTCTTGGCTGGTGGAAGAAGACATTATTGGACAGAAATGATTTGTTGCTTTCAATCATTTGAGTTTGATTTGACTTCAGGAAAAGCGGTGCAGCGGAGGGAGCAGCGAGCCATTCCGCTGTCCTCCAACCTGCAGAAGAAGAAATGTTGTGCATCTGAGCGGTGCTTTAGTTTTGTACCATGTGTGCTGTGGGTAAAGCATATGAGGCATATGAGGGAACTGTAAAGAACGTGTGGAGAATGACTTAAGGAGATGTGCTGAAATACTGTCCGACACCAAGGGAGGGGAAAACACTCCACCGACAAGTCGAGGGTTTAAACAAAGAGAAAAAAAAAGTCTGTTTTAAGAGCACCATGAATTGTAAACAATCAGAGTTTTAGTGAAAGAAGAGCGTCGTTCAGGCAGCTTAGCTCGATGGGGGTGACTTGCTGGGTTGTCCTCCTCCTAGTCCGAGTCTACGACCAGCCTTCTCACAGCCCATTAGAGGTCTTTGACCTGAAGATGGATGCTAGTTGAGCGTCCCTCTGCAGTTCTCTGCTCCACACAAACATGGGATCTTCTCGTCCTCGATGGGGAACTTGTAGTCATACGTGATCTCCTCGTTCACATTGATCGGCTGCCTGGAGTAGATCACGATCTTCTTCTGGGACTCCACTGTGATGACTTTAGCATAACAGTTGGGCTGTGAGGAAAGAGGGGTGATTGTTTATGGATTCCAGTTATGAAAGCAAAAATTCTCTCAGCTGCATTAATGCAGGTGGGGATCAGCCTTACGTTGCAGCTGTGGTTGATGAAACGGGCAAAGTTGCCGCATTTTGTGGCGTCGATTATGGTGTCGTGGTCCACCCGGAACATGTAGCTGCTACCGATGCCCTCCTCTTCGTAGCGCTTCTCCCGCATGTCAGCGATCACCTGCAGAGAGCAAAGTGTGGCACGTCAAGTCGTGGATGGCTTTGGATTAGACATGCATAAAAAATCTGAATCAGCCTAAATTAGAAGTTCTAGAAAGGTTAGGGGTGTGGATGTGTTCATGTCAACAAAGTTTTTTCAACAGATTCTGTAAATTGTTCTCTGAGATAAGTCAGCATCAGCAGGTCGGAGCTGCACAATGATATAAAACCTGTATCAGGCCTGAAAACCAAATCTCAATAACAGGGCTCCCTCACTAGCACCGGCTCCACTCCGCCTATGGACTTCTACGCACATCTTTTGGCCCGTCCACGTGCTCAGAGATGCGCTCATGACATCACTGATGTTTTGCGCCACTTTTGGAGACCGGCCATCTGCTTGGTCACGTCTGCGTTCCTAAGGACGTATGGAAGGATGTGTGTAATCAGCCCAGTCAGGCTGGAGCTGACTGCACGGAGTGGAGCCGACCCTAGTGTGGAAGGGGCTTTAGTCACCTGCACCCAAATATTAAAGTTCTTCTCCTTAAAGGCACATTTGGCAGTTTTACTTGCTTTTAGCACCCCCTAGTGTCCGTTATTCTCTGTGGTGGAAACTCATCTCCCCGCTATACGTTTGTCTTTTTAACACCTTAATCTAACAGCTGAAATGTCTCCTCGGCCTTCATTAGTGTCTACAGGAAGGATTCATCACTAAAGGAAACAAATCGGCTGTGTTCACGATCTAAAACATGCAGGAAACGTGGTGGAAGCAGACTGCAGTGCCTGGCATGTCAGCCCACTTTTTTTCGCCACACTGAAGTTGCAAGTGCCATATTCTGGCCACAGGGGGTCTGAGTGACATTTCATTAACCCTTTATGGTTATTTAAGCACAGTCTGGTTAGGGGTTAGGGTTGCATAGTATCCCTTTAAATCAGACATTTTTGTTAAATGTATAATTTTTTTAAAGTCTTGCATGTGTGAAACTCAGTCTCAGGTATCAAATATTTTAAACACAAAGATTTTTTAAATAGATTTAATCTCTTCACTGGTAACTTCTGCATTTGGGTGCATTTTGGTTCGTAACCAGAACTGAAGTAAACGCATCATCAATCAGGCTGAAGCTAACTGGACTTTAAGTTTACTTGTGAAGACTTTTTCTGTCCATGACTGACTGGCTGCAACCTTACTAAATAGCAATCAGCTGAAGGGGGCGTGGCAAGCTCGTGGGAACAGAAACTAGAGAACCAAATCATCCTAAACACCTCCAGTCTTCCAGTGCAGGAGTTTCAGGACAAATCTCAAATATTATCCAAAATAAATACGAAGATGTTTGTAAGGGTAAGCATCCTGGAAGCCGTGTCCCACCTGTCTGATGTTCTGTCCCACATACTCAATCACCATCTCATCAGCAGCGATGGGCTCCATAGCAAACAGACCCCAGTCGTGGATGTGCGACTTGCAGAATCGGATCTTTTTCTTACGGAACTGCAGAAGAAAAGAGCCGTTAATCCAGATCGGTGCTTTTAAATGAACTCTCTCTTGAGTTCATAACAAAAAGGAACTCTGTCTGGGTTACCTTCAGCTGGTTGAACTTGAGCAGGTCGCTGTCACAGGCGAACGATGACAGCAGGCGTCGCTGCTCTGAGCGCCGCTCCGATCCGGCTCTGCTGGAGGCGTGGACCTGCGCAGGAATGCTCATTCCCTGGATGGGAACACAACAGAACAGGTGAAGACCCACTAACGCTTGTGATGCTTTCAAAGATAACGCTGACGTTTTTGATCTCTGCACACCTGGGTATCGACTGGCGGCTCCTCCGATTGCAGCCGAGAGCTCTCCAGGTACTTGATCTTGTCCTGCTTGTCTATCTTGTAGTATCCCTCGCTTCGCGCGCAGCCCGTCGTGTGATCCCTGATGCCATCGTCTTGTCGCTTTTTCTTCACACCGGGGATGTTGGTGGGTGCAGGGAAGTCAGGGAAAAATACTGTAAAACTTCAAGCAGTTCCTCCTTTTAACCAGCAGAGGGAGCAGGTTAAAACAACCGGGAACAATTTATGATGTTATACCTAGCTTTGCTTTGAAAAGGCAGATTTAAACGAGCGTTTTGAGTAAACGAGAACATTTTAGCCAGTAAAGGATATGAGGATGGTTGACCCAGAGCGTGTCGTTGAGCCAGTCGTTGACGTTATCCTGCTGGAGCATCTTGTCATACGTGACCTGCAGAAGCCGTATGTCCTCCTCATCTATGCCTTCGTTCCAGATGTCATACAGGATGGTCACCTCCTCGAAATCAGAGCGCGGGCTGAAATACGACCGTGGCGGAGTGGTGACTGGAGACAGGGTGCCCAGGAGCAGCTCCTCCCAGCCTCGCCTCGATCTCCGAACTGGCTTTGAAACCACAGATGCCTCCTTCTTGTAGGGGAGGAAGTCATCGTCGAGAGGTAACCGGGTCTGAGAATCATCCTCTCCTTCCCGGAAGTCCAGGCTGGCATGTTTGGGAGGTTTGACAGATGTCATTTGGAGGGACAGGTCCCTCAGAGAGGATTCCTGAGGCCGATCTGTGGACTCGGACGAGAACTCTAAAGACTCAGACGCAGAAACAGCTGGAGTCTTTTTTAGTTTTGACCGTCCGGCCTTCTTCTTTGACGAGGTGGCCTCTGAAAGCGCAGGGACGTCTGCAGAGAGATCGGAGGGTAGATCTTCTGGCACGGTGGCCGTATGTTCTGTGGAGGCGGGCAGGACTTGATTAGGCAGAGCGCTGACCGGTGGCTCCTTAAACACCTGTCCCTCATCCAGGCTCTTCCTGTTTAGTGCGAGTGCTGCAGGGTCGGGGAAGACAGGGGTGAAAGTTAAATCTCTCCCTGGCGTACGAGGCACTCCGGCACTGAGGACAGGGGACTGTGAGGGGTAAGAAAAGGGACTACCGGGGATGTGGGGGGAGCTGAGCAGCAGGCTGCTACCAGTCAGAGGGGCGTCGCTGCCGGGCGTGTTGGGAATGGTGTCGGTACTCTGGGATTTACCCAGACTACGAGCGCGCTCCATCAGGTCACGCCCCGGCGTTCGGGGGATGTCCTCATCTGTGGGGAGCCTGGGCCGCTGAGGGAAGTCAGGCAAGGGGCCGGGAGGAGGATGGAGTAGGGAGCGGCTTTCTACCGTCGGGTGTGGAGGTAGAGGGAGATGCTTTAGTGACGTGGAGGCAGGTGCATTTGGATGGGATGGAACTAGTAGAGCGGGGGTGCAGGGAATGTCTTCAGGCTCTGCTTTACCTTTGGTTTTAGCTTCCTGGTCGCTGTCGGGCAGCGCACCCGTAGGGGTGGGCGGGCGGAGGTTTGTCACGTGTTCTGGAGGCTCTAGCTTCACTGCGGTGATGACTCCATCCCACCGCTCCTCTGAAAGACAACATACACATCTTTAGATCTGTGGCTGTTACAGGAAGTCTCCTGAGGGGACAGCGTGGACGCTCACCTCGGATACCTCTGGGTGAAGGTGGCTTCACGTCCTCTAGAGGAGGACTGGGAGGTCTGCGTTTGGTCTTTGGGCTCAATTCCTCCTTCACGTGCTCCCTGCCTGCTACCGTAGGACTCGGTGGCTTGCTGTCCCTGTCGTCCTCATCAGAAGAAGACGACGAGGACGAGGAAGAAGACGATGAGGTGTCAGCCACTTGGGCGTGCTTGTCCTCTGGCTCTCTCTCTTCGTCTTCTTCCTCCTCTGAGCTTAATTCGTACTCAGAAAACTCTGAGGTTTCCGCCGAGGAGTCGGAGCTCTCCACCGACGACTCGGAGCTGGCCTTGAAGGAGGCGGAGGTTTCGGCTTCTGCAGGAGATCAGGTGAAGGAGTGAAAAACAAACACAAGAGGAACCGACAAGCTGCTTCTGTCAGTAGTTTAAAATACCGTCATCAGATGAGTCTGAAGATGTGCTGTCGCTGGACGAGCCTCCTGCTTCTTCCTCCTTGTCCTCCTCGGCATCACTCTCCTGTGAGATGATCCATGGCTCATTAATCAGAAATAATCCTTCCAATAACCGGACGTGGGGTTTCCGTCAGGGCTTACCTTGCCCGACGACAGCCCGTCTACAACCGTCGTTTCATCAGCCTCCTCTTCCTCCAATTCGGACAGCGACTCCTCTTCCTTCCCTGACGTGTCCATCTCCTCTTCCCCCTCGCTGTCCAGCTCGAGCGGTCGTGAGTGCCGTCGCTTTGCCGCCGTACCGTCGCTGTCCACTTTAGAATCTCCAGAGGGGAGCTCTGCTGGGTCTCGATCCCGGTCTGATGACAATTCATAATTAAAAACAGAAACGATCTCCAACAACAAATCACGTTTGTGTTTCCAGAAGAGACTCACCTTCATCCTCCAGCTCGTCGTCCACCGGCGTGGAAGGTCGCGCCCTCTTGTTGTCGCCTGCTGGCGCCGTCTCAGGTGGGTCTTTCCTTTTAACCTGAGTAAGGCACACGGTTCTTTAACACCTGCAAACATCTGCACCAACCCCAGACACGCCCTTTTTAAGGTTTAGTGAACTTTCTCACCTTGAAGGAGGGCAGTCGGATGGCTCCTCTTAAGCCCATTCCCAGACCCATCCCTTCAAAGCCGAGCCCTTCGGCCTTGTTCCAGTTCTCAAGCAGACTAGAACCCAGCGTCTCCTTGGGTTTGGGTTTTTCTTCTTCCTTTCCCTCTGCACCTTTGACTGGAGTCAAAGATGTCTAAAAAAAAAACATTTTAGTTTAAAAAAAAAATCTGACAGTTTAAAGCCTCAATTTGCCTTTTTGCTCCACAGATCACCTACACGTTTAGTTAATAAGAATAAATAAGCACTTATTTCAGCAATATTTGCATTTGTATGGACAGTGGGACGAGAGTGAGAGCACGTTCCTCTTTTACAGCGCCCATCAAAGTGACAGGTACCAGGATGTTGGTCCAAACCGAACCACAAAGAGGCAAATCAGCCACACAGAGAATGTCCTCACCTGTGCAGAGGTCTAATTAGGTCCAGCGTTTGTGCTGAAGGATCACATCTATTCAAATCGTAGCGATGATGGACTCACCTTTGCTGAATGTTCCTTCTTCTCCCACCACTCATCGAAGGCCCTGAAAGCCACCACCTCCACCATTTTGCGGTTCAGGTCCCTCTTCATGATGGCCTTCAGCTCTTTGACGATGACCAGCAGCACCCCGTCCACGGTGGCCTTGTGGGGATCCTCCTTCTTCCCCTCGTAGCCCGGCGGGGGAACGGTGGGGTTGAACTTGGGTAAGCTGGGATGGTGCCACTCATGTCCAGGGGCTCCTGTGCTGCAGGCAGGCGTGGCGTCCACAGAAACAGGCGTGTAGTGTCCTCCGAAGGGCCCGGCAGTGCCTCCGTCCATGAAGTGCGGATACTGATAGGGCCCTCTGGTCTGAGCCATGCGACTCAACATCTGCTGCTGCATCTGGAAGGACATGGGGACCGTGCTCCAGCGTTCCCACGGCACGCAGTTCATCAGCCCCATCAGCTGAATCATGCTCGGGGTGTAAGGACTCATGGGATGGATCATGTGGGGGTGAACTCCTGGGTGAGCGGCCAGGTGAGCCGGATGCCCTGCGATGGTAGAGTGATGGGACAGCAGGTGGGGAGGGATGGCGAAGCCGGCTTGCATGTGGTGGTAGCTGGCAGGGTGCATGGACATGGGTTGCATTGAAGACAGGTCGTCGTTGATGACGTCACAGTCTCCGCTGGTGATCGGAGCTCCTGGCAACTCCTCATCGGAGATCTCCATGTCTTCCCCTGATGACTGCTGACCCTGGGAGGGAAAGAACAAGATGTCACAACTCCAATTCATTGGCCTTTTCACATCCAGACCCTCCGTCCCATAAGAAAAATGCCTCTGAGATCAGGTCAGTTGCAAAAAAAGGTTCCTAAAATGCCAAGTGTTGTTAATAAAGCTCCTATAAACACAAAACATTGAATTGTAGCCATTTTGAACTGATTTTTTTTAAATAATGAATAACAAGTTCCAGGTAGTGTCAGTGTTAAAGGAAAACTCACCTTTTATATCATGTGAGAGTCTACAAACACTCAGAACGTAAAAATAATCTGTCCATCTGTTTTCTGTCAGTGTTTGGTTTTAGGAATTGTGTGTCTTAAACAAGCCATTTCAAACAGTTACTGTTAGTGATGTCACAATCGGGGAAATTGGAAAAGAACCACCTCTCACGTAGAAGAGAGAGTGGCTGCTGGAATGAGCAGCGGCTCTACTCTGAGCCCCTTCTGGAAATGGGAGCTTCTCAGCTAATAGCAGCCAGAGTGGGGATGGGTGGGCGTGGCCAATTCCTGCTTGTTTCCTTAAAATGACAGAGCCCTGAAATGGCTTATTCTAGAAGGTACTGAAAAAAGTCAAGAATAAAACTGCTGAAATGGCTTCATGTGAGAAGGATTTATGGCGAAGTACTTAAATGTGTTTTGCATCGACCATAAAACTAGTACTTAAAAATCATAAATTGTCCCCTTTTTAAAAAAAGGACATTCAAAATAAAAGCCTTCATAACTGACCTGAGGTCAAAGTTTTGTGTGCCCATCAGAGCAGTCAAACACGATTGACCTGTGGCTTTGGTCAGCACGTTTGCAAACAGAACAATGTGTTCAGATCACTAAAAACACACGGCAGAAGCTTTAGATGCAAGATTTTAAACGTCGTCTCTCATCAGCTCGACTTCAACATCAACATACTTCGTCCAAACTGCTGCAAAAAAGAAACTAAAGTGACAAAACTTTTTAGGGGAGTGGCATCATTACCCAAATGACCAGTTTGCTCTGTTTGCTTTGTGATAACTTGAAATATGAGCCTGGGAGGCGATCCTGACTGTCAGTCAGCTAAAACCAGGAAGTGTGGTGGTGAATGGGGCTAACAGCCAAACTGTATTTTCCTGTGTGTGTGTGTGTGTGTGTACGAGTGCAATGAGAGTTAGAAAGAGGAAACAAGGCACTTTGTTCCCTTAACACCAGAAAGGCTCGTGTTTCTCCCAGCCGAATGTGGAGTAAAACCATAGAAAAGCTACCTGAGCGTGCTTCTGTAACTTCTGAGGCAGCTAATAACTCACCAACACCTGCTACCAGCACTCGGGAGGATCTTAGAAAGTGTGCTAGTGCTGATTTGAAGATACCAAACTTAAAAAAAAAACTACTTTCACTTTACCCATGAGACTACGCAACTGAGAAACCAGAATTTCCTTTATAAGGCAGAACAAAACCAATGACACAAAAGGCTTTACTACTACCGCCTCACGCTGAAGCTAAACCTGACTTCCTGTGTCCCTGTGTAACTGTCATTCACACCTGCACACACCAGCAACAGCCTCTCGTGCCAACTGGGTATGGAGACATGTGTCTCCGTCTTACCGTGTCTGTTTTATCAGCGGGACTGTGGCATCCAAAGGGCCCGTCCTTGAGGTCAGTTTTGCTCTTCTCGTGGACAGGAGAGCCAACTCTTCCAACCAATGAGGACATCCCGGGAACAGGCTCGTCATCATCCGAGTCTGGCAGTGGGGTTGGACTGATGTCCTCCAAGCCCATACTTGGGGGACGGGAATTCTGCTGGCCACCCTGAGAGCTACCAGTGTAAGGTGGGATCGGGGACAGCTGGGAGGACGAGGAGGAAATAGGACTTCCCTCCATGCGCACCTCGTTGTCCGAGTCCCGCTCCTCCAGGAACGGCAGCAGTTTTGTCCTTTTTTCTTTCAGGAGCATCTCGATGCGAGAATCCAGGCTGTTACGCTCCGAGTCCAGCACCGGAGAGCCGGGCGAGGGGCAGTCCTCCGGGGTCTGGGGGGGAGGGGTAGTCGGATGGGGACTAGGTTCAGGTGGCGGCTCTGGGATGGGAGGAGTTTCTGGTCTCTCCTTGACGGGTAAAAAGTCAGTTGGAGCTGCCAGTGGAGGCTGCGGAGGTAGGAGGTACTCACCCTCCCTTTGGGATGGGTGATGAAAAGGTGGCTCAGATGGGGGGAAGGCGGGAGGCAAAGGTGCCTGGTAGGGTGAGAAGGCAGACTTGAAGTTAGGCGTAGTGGGGGGAGGCGCGGAGTAGTTGAAGGAGGTGGTGGAAGGTGGAGGTTCAGGCGGGGTGAGCTGGTGCTGTTTTGAAGGAGCCTGCTCAGACGACGTACTGCGATACATGTTGCTGCGATACTGCGGCCTCTCTGGTCTGCGATTGTACGCATCTTGGAACTTGCTCTCGTGCCTCCGAGACTTGTAGCCTCCGGAGCTCTCGGGACGGCTGGACTGGTATGCAGGCGTGGACTGCCGACTGGAGAAACTAGAGTCTTGAGAGAAGGGTGTGCCTGGCTGGCGTGGGGTGTGAGGGGTTCCCTGGGACTGGGGGGTGTCCTGCCTTAAGCTGGAGTAGCCGGTCTCCAAGCTCAGGGGAGTGGTAGAGCTGCTGGGCGGCAGCGCTCCTCCCACAGAGGAGATGCTGCTCTCAGACAACCTGCGGATGGGCTCGCAGGCCTGGAACAAAACGAAATGAGGATACCAGTCAACAACGGATGTCCCAAAAAGGCACAAAGCATAAAACAGGCTGTAAACAATGAATGTTGACACTACTTAAGAAGTTATTTCAAACTAAAACAACAGCAATAAAGTTTTAATTGACCAGTAACGCTTCAGCCAGGCTCCGCGGGGAAACCTCCCGGGTCTCCTCTACACCAACAGGCAGCGTCCTTGGAGTGTAGCTGCCATTCATCAGGAGCTGGAAGTACCTCAGGCGATTCTCACCTGCAGTACAGTAAACAAAAGACATGCTTAGTACTGGAAGACTAATAATGGGGTTAATTGTTCAACAAATGGCACTAATTCACAGTGGCTGAAAATGATGCTGAACAGCTGATCATTTCTAATGTAGGAGCCTTACAAAATGCCACGATCGATTATCAATCCCTCATCACGCCATGCATTCGTTTTCTCAATCAATGAAGCAACCTAACATGTGACTGAGCGTGGACCAAAGCATGTCTGCATATCTAACAAAAATACATGCAAATTACGAGGTTATGTGTAATCAATGGAAACATGCATAGTGACGCTTAAAACATGAAATCTTTGAATCAGCACAGATGCTATACATACATACATACATACATACATACATACATATATAGCAATTGAGGAATAATCTTTACATTTGGAGGTTTGCATCAACAAAGATCAATCAGGCATTTTGCTATAAAAAAGGTCAAATAAAGCACTTTGGTGTGAACTGAGGTGAGGAGGACTGTGACAGATTGGTTTGTGTTTGTTTGCAGATCTGAAATTATGCACAGAGGGAGTACACAGCACCCTCAGCTCTGAGCTTGTGGGAACAGGCTCATTTTCAATGAAATTCAATTATCCCACGTTACCAAGCAACGCACGTAAATTTCAGCACGTGACTGCTGTCATCCAGACAACCCAAAACAAACCAATAAAGCACACGTATGTGATTTTTTTTAGATCCGCGTTTCTGATAAACTATCTGAGAGAATAAAACAGTGCCTGAGCATATTCGATGTGAATGAATGGAGCTCTGTTGTTTACCTTTTGGGTCCAGCTCCACGTGGATGATGGTTCCCATCACAGACGTGTTGTGCAGCGACTGAACAGCCACCTTGGCGGATTTGACATTCTCAAAAACCACTTTAGCTATTCCCAGGTGCTTTTTGTTCTTCGGATTGTACAGGATCTCGACCTCCTCGATGTCCCCGAATTTTTTGCACATGTCCGTGAGAAATCCCTCCCTGATGTTGTCGTTCAGCCGGGCGAACGTCACCTCCTTCGGAGGCACGGGGCCGACGTAGCACTCATCGATCTGGGAGGAGGAGGACAGGAGTTAATAAGTGCCGTTGGGTTAATGATGCACCGTGCTGGAGGCGAGCTGAAGCAGCTACGATAAGAAAAAAAATACGAGGTTGCAGTAAATGTGTGGGTGAACTCTGTCCGGGAATATGTGAATGGAGATTTTAAAATCCTCCCGACGGGTTTAGCTCAGGTCCCAGAGATGACAGAGAGGGGGTGTGTCTGCAACTTCTGACAGCACCTCTTTTCCACAGGGAGAAACGCAGCGTGGGACTCCAGCCACAGTAGATACCTTAAACTTAGGCACCGGTAGGTCCGTTTCTTTGTACTTGGTCCAGAGACGACCGATCCTCGGGTCTCGGACGATCTCCACCGGTGGTATCCCAGGGTTCTGCAGGAGAGAAAGAGAGAGAGACAGTCCTATTAACCATCCCGTAAACAAGTTCACACACGAACTTGTTGCAAAGTAGTCCTGGTGAAAGCAGGGGTGTTCAGCCCAGCCATCACACCCCCTCCGGAAACACCGTGTTAAAGATGCCGAACAATCCCCCTGGACATTCGGGGCAACGCGGCCGCTGTAGTAACGCATCATGGAGGTCGGCTACTCGGTTACTATTGTAGCCGTTACGCCGCGTCAAAGGCGGCACTTACTGGCATGCTGAAAGTCTGTCCATCGTAGCGATACAGTTTGTGTGATCCCTTCTTCAGCGCCGGGTCGATGATCAACTTGTAACTTCTCCAGTGGTGACTCCGCTTCTCCGCCGAGCCGCAGACGGGATGAGTGTCCATGCCGTTCGCCAAACCTGAAACGACAAGCCAGCGACAGCAGGGCTAACGTTAAACACGGTGTCCCTAGCAGCCGCGACACTTCCAAACAGCCAAAACACTGGAAATGCACGACTTCTGTGGAGAAAGGGGGAACCCTCGGGGAGCGAAAACTGGGAGCTAACGTATATTCCCACTTACGGAAAACAGGCATTAGGAGAGCAGGAGAAAAGAGAAGAAAAAAAAGAACAAGCTTACTTGAACTCTGCTTTCTGCCATGGTCCTCGTTCAATCTATTCCTCTCGCCTGGCTTGGACATGGCTCGTCCGATCGAGTGATTTTTTAATTGATGAAAAGATGAAATCGCCTTTCCTTTCGCCGCTTACATTACATGATTTAGCTTGAAGAATACTGCCTCCTTTTCGGCGAGAGCCAGCACATATTGTGTGCCTCTGGTCTCTAGCTGCTGTCTCTCCCACAATACACCGCTAGGCTTGCCCACCCCCGTGCTCGCTTCACTTTCGCTACAAACTTGCGCCGATAGAGCCAACGAAAAGCTCACCTATTAAAACTCTACGCACTTAAAACATTTTTAAATAAAATAGAGTTTACATGAACGAACGTTTGTTCAAGATTCGGTGACACGCGGGCATTTGTAAAGACCCGAATATTTTTTGTGTCGAATCTGCCGACTGCATTTACCTAAAACGGCAAACACAAGATAGACACAGGGAACAATATCTTCTTAACCACCTCCAAAGGTTAATAAAGGCTTTGGATATTTATGTATTGGCAGATGTTTTTTTTTCAAAAGCACTTACAAAACGAAAGCGAGAGAGGTGAGTTTGTAGTATAAAGACGTTTTGAAATTAATTTAAAAATAAACAAAACATTTAGATACAACAAATTTAATTCTAGTTGATTTAATAACAAAATAAATGGATTAAAGAAGAAATTAGATTTGTTCGCTGACGAAATTCACTGCACATCTAAATGTTTGTAACTGTTGGAATGCGGCGGCGTGTTTTTTTTTTCTTCCTTTATTTTAGTTTGAGCAGCTCGGATCAACAAAACCAGCGTGTCCGTCTTTTAAGTGAAACAAAAAGCAGTAATGGTTTTAATTTTAAATTGGAAATGTTTAATTGATTTAAATGAAGTGCTTGTTGTCGAGCAAACTGGGGGGTTTGTTTGACATTGCCTGTTGTTTTGCAGTGCTCGGGCAATTGGCTAGTTAACAGCGGCAGCTCGGCGGGCCAATCAGAGCGCGGCAGCCGCCGGAGCTGTCTGCTATTAGAGGCACGGCTCAGGAGTCCTTCAACAGAGAGCTGGGAGAGAGAGGGGGCTGAGTGCTCTCAGCAGCCATTTTCCTTAAAACAGGACTCAATGGCCTATATGGGGTTTCCTTTGTTCCAAAAAGGGATCTTTACACTTGATTTCATCATCTCTTACGGACTATGATAAATCTATGATTGCTCCTTTTAAAGGATTGAGAAGATGGAAGAGAGAATGTACTGGATGTGACATTTTGAGCCTTTTTCTTCCTCTTGCCTGGAGTCCATCTTTGTCTTAACTAGGTCATGGCACACCCATATAATAGTATTTTAGTTTTCGTAAATGAAAAGAGAAAAAAAGAACCAAATGTTGTGAATAAACCAGTGTTGTGACTTTTTTTGGAGAATGATGGGAGAAAACAGTGAAAGTGACAAATGCTGGCATTGCACTTTATGGCCTTGTAGTGAATGAGTTGCAATCAGTAAGTTTGATTCTTTTATAACAATTTTATATTTGACAGTTGATTTGTGTAATTTTTGAGGCATGCAGTAAGTTATTAAAAGTGATTTCTGTCGTTTTTATCACATCATTTCTGTAACTAATCTTCACTGCATGTTGACACAATATACAGCTTAAAATAGGCCACGAATAACTTAATGGCGTTGCTACAAATGTATATAGTGCATTGTTTTTTTTTGACACTTGCTTTGATTAATGACTTTTAAACACTTTCCTTCCACAACAGCAAGATGGCTTGTTTTGTATCCTGTCCTGCAACCGTGGAGACAACGTCAAGCTCGATTAGTCCTGCCATTAATCCGTCCAGCGTGTAAACGGCGGCTTGACCTTGCCTCAAGGGTGTATTTGACTAAAGAAGCCAATCCAGGCAGCTTAAAATATATATATATATATATATATATATATATATATATATATATATATATATATATATATATATATATATATATATATATAAATAAAAAAAGGAAAAACAATTTCTCAAACTATCTAAAACACAAAGAAATAAAAAAAAAAAGAAACAGATGAAGGGAGAACTTTCACGGTGCAAATATTTACCTCAGCAGCACTTTGTTGAAATGCAGTGAGCAGGCCTAAACGCAGGAACAGGACTGTTTTCTGCTCCATCTTCGGATCCTCTAATAATGGCATTAATAAGGGGCAAAAAAGCGTCTCCTGTGAAGGAAGGAACCCATTAAGTACGACATGAACTCTTTTGAAAAGTTTTTTTTGATCAGTGATAGCATTCCCCCCTCTGAGGCAGCGAATATGCATCTCCAAGCATCATCTGTGTGGGCAAATATGCAAAACCATCTCTTCTCCTCTTGAGGACAGGATAGCAGTCGAGTGTGACCTCGTCCATTTCTGTCTCATCTACCATCATGCACATGGAAATGTTTTAAAAGGTAACGAATTTTGAGCTATTTCACTTAATCTGCCTACTTATCTATATTCTCTGAGGACATTGAGTAATTGTGAAAAATACATTTTTTTAGCAAAACTGATGACTTTTTGATTAAAAAAAACATCTACAACCCATAGTTTTAATGGATATAGCAAAACTTACAGTTAGAATTGGAAAACATGTAATCCACGTTTTTAAACGACCAAAGGGGAATCTTAATGGGAGAAAATGTCGTTATTTTCACTGCCTCCATTTATCCAAAGACACCTTTAGGTGATCAGCAGATTTGTACTTGCTCAATGGTTTCTCAGCAGTCTCAAAATGGCTTCTTTACAGACAAAGGGAGCGCTGTGCTGTAAAATGTAGCTGCGCCACAACTGGGAGAGGCTCGGCGACAGCGCCGTGTAGTGTTACCCAGGACAGAATTCGACGTTTCGGCAACTTGGAAGTGAATCCAACGACCGTCACAGGCAGAATGTGTCGATTATCTCACAAACAAACGAGGAAATACAGTAGAGAAGAGTGTGTGTGTGTGTGTGTGTGTGTGTGTGTGCGCGCGCGCGCTAAACGCTGTTCAACCTCGCCCTGGCAACAACAGTAATCCGCGAGCTGTGGACCGTTGCCAAAAGAGCTCGCGCTTCATGCTGCAACCCCCCACATTACCATATAAGGCCGACAGGAATCCGCTGCGGCAGCCCTGCTTGTGTTGTATCTGGGTGAAGGGTAAAATATGCTGCTTTGCGCATGCGCTTTCTCGCGCTAGAAGAGATTAGAGAAACTGGAATGATCGCGCATTTAAGAAGCTGCAGAGCAGATAGTGCACTCTAAAAGACCATCCTTACTTATTTTTTGGGAGAGATATGGTTAAATGTAAGTGGGAGTGTTTTTATTCGTGTAAAAGAGGAAGGGGGTTTAGTATCTAGCAGTAGTACTCTTTCAGATAAATAGCAAGGCAACCAAAATTGTAGAGTAGACCCAAAAGGCCCGTTTTGTTTGTTCGTCACTTGCAACACCGAGAGATGCCAAGACGCTGTACAGCCTCATTTGTTGAATTTTCTTAGCTTTTGTGTAATGATAGTGTTTTGTGTGTGGAGCAAAGGAAGTGCCACTTTAGTGGACGGGTTTGGGTGTAAATCCACCAATCAGGGCGTTTATAGACTTTATTTTAGAGAATAGAAAAAGGAGAGAGAAACCAGTTTCCCCGGTGGGCTGCGCCGCGGACAGACTGGAATATTCCACACAGGGGATTGGCCTCTCCGCGGGACAGCTGTCTTTCTGCACGGCGACAAAATATTTCAACAATTTGCTCTTTGTTTATTGATAAGCGAGGGGCTTTGTGGACACCCTGTAGGACAGATCCCATTTTCTCTACAGACTTTATGCAAATGTGAAGCTACGAGTTTCACTCTGTAAGTCAAACAAGCAGATTTTTATTTGTTAGAAATGGATCTTTTTTATAGCACAACACTGGGCTCGCCTCTGTGGACTCAAAGGGAGACAGACGATTTTTCATTCCTACTGATTTATTTATTGAGTCATCGGAAGCTTTGTCTTTTGTTCATTCTTTGGGTGTAGTCACTTTTTAAGGATTTCCCTTTTTACTCTTTTCTAGCTCTTAAACTTTCATGTGATTGATTTTAATGCCTCACATGATATGGTGACTACACTGTGTGCTCTCTCAATGTGTAAATAAATAGTGTCTTTGTTTTTATGGAGTCTGGGTTAAGTTGTATTTTGTCATTTATTTATTGAGCCTATGCTTAAAGCAGCAGTTTATATAAAAACACAAATGGGTATAATTTAGATGTAGCAATATAAATTTGTACATAGAAGATATAAAAAACTGTAAATATGTCCTATTTTAAGCAGAGCTAGCCATATCCTGTATGGTTAATTACCACCTTCTAGTAAAACTTGCCCCTAAAACGAAACCGGAGCTGATTTTAACATTCCTCTCTTATCACCAAGGTTAAACCATGATCACAAACCTTTTTTTATAAACAACATTATACCCTCGACACACCTCTCAGGCATCCATGTCCATTAATAGCTGCTTCTAGTTTTTCCTTGATCTTTAACAGAGCCATCACATCTGGAGTATGTTCAGCTGATCTCAGAGCAGCTTTCTAATCTTGAATTATTTATATTTAATTTACTGATTTATTTATCATTTGGTGTCAGATTAGATTTAATGAAATTACAGAGATAGGAGAGAGTACCAGGTTGGGTTCAGTGATGAATAAACAACTTCAATTCCAAGTTATGAAGCACTCTAATCTGAAGGTGGTATTGTTTTTAGATCTATAAGATGTAAAGCATCATTCAAACATTATGGGTTTCCATGGAAACACATTTCATGAGATCAGGTCCACACACGCTTTCATCAGAGCATCCCAGGTTGGACATTTATGACTTAACTCCATGTTTATTTCTAATTCAGCTGAATCCATGTCAGCTTGGCTGTTTTTTTCCCCACTCTCCCTTCCTCCCACACACCCACGCTCAGTCAGCAGAGGCAGTGCCTCAGTGTGTGAGCACACACACCCAGTGTGAAGTGAGTCAACGCTCACAGAAGAGGAAGTAAGGAACAGTCAGAATCAGTTGCTTCAGACGTGCAACGGCATGCAGAGCTCTCAGATCTGAGCTGGAGGATGGGACAGGAGAGGAGTGTAGAGGGTCTATTGGAAACAACGTCAGAGTGACAGGAACAGGAAGTGGTGAAGCACCGAGCTACCATGAGACCTGCCGGTTCCTCTGTCTTCAAGCCGCATCTGAATCATCTCAGCCGTTCCAAATGTAGATTAATCAGGTTTTAAAGATTTGATCAAAATCTGGAGGAAACAACAGCCCAGCTCTTCCTGGCACCTGCTGTCTGACCTGCTTGGAGGCAAATATGACCCAGAACGGCTCCGGACCCGTTAATGATAACGGAAAAAAGATAGAGGAATTGAAGTTTGTAATTGTAGGAGATGGAGGCTGTGGGAAAACATCTCTCCTCATGGTTTATGACAGAGGTGATTTTCCAGAGGTAAGAGGCGCTACCACGAGACTTAACACACCTTCTAAATTAATCTTTTAAACAGATAAATATTATTTCAACCCATTCTGATTCTAAACATGTATGAAAATGAAAGCAGGAATGTGATTTTTGTGATGAAAACTGAAGCGGAGGTCGTTCTGTGTGTCAAAACAGGAATATGCTCCATCAGTGTTTGAAAAGCATGCCAAAACCATCTCTGTTGGAGGGAAACAGATCAAACTTAACCTGTATGACACAGCTGGTAAGAGAAATACCACCTCCAGTTTGGCCTTTCAGTGCAACATGGTTAAAAACCACAAGAACCTAAAATTTAAAACATGAATGGTGCACAAACTGACCCAAAGTCTGAAAGAGATTGAAAATGTAAAACTTTCACTATAATTTAAGTTCTGCCACATCCTGACCTGTGAAAGTAGTTTTTCATCTCATAGTTCAGAGACTGACGAGGAAAATTCACAAAGATTGATGCTTAAGGTCAGAGTATGGTGGTTATTTTAAGAAAATGATCCATATTTCACTAACCAGACAGTATTAGCCATTGTTTAGGATTAATTTAGACTAAACATTTTGTTTCATCTAATTTATCAAATTATTTAAAACGAAATAGAATCGAGAAAAAATATCCAAATTCTTGCTTATTTTAAAAGATCAGAAAGCAAATTAAACTAAGTGTGATCTTGATTCATGGCAGCTTAGGTGAATTTTACTATATTTTTCTAATTATAAGTTACAATTATAATTATTTTTTTATGTAGATAACACTTTATATTAAGGGTCCCTTTATTAACGTTACTTAGTGCATTAATAAACAAAGGGTCCCTTTATTGAAATTATCATTATTAACTATTAAATGTCCTTAAGGTTAGGGCAAAGGGCTGGAGGAGTGTCTGCTTAGCAATGCATTACTTAATATGGTTAAACAGTTGTTAGTACCTAATTTAATAGTTTATTAATGCTTAATAATGCACTAAGTCATGTTAATAAAGGGACCCTTATTGGAAAGTGTTACCTATACGTATAAATAACACATGAAATGATCAATGTTCAAATGATTGATCAAATTAATCACCAAATATAAACACAGATTTTTTTCTTCCATTGAAATATCTAAATGCTCATTTACAGATGCTTGTTAACATATGGCACATAATGAATAACAGGGTCATAACATTGAAGGTGTATGAGTAAGACGCATACTTTGGAGCTGCTGCTGTTCATCAGCAGAGAGGGAAGCTGCAGTCAGGATGTGGGTTTGCATGTTTATCTGCAGCCTCGTCACTCTCGTGTGTCTTTAAGCTGCAGCCATGAGTGGTTTGGTTTTAGCCCTGCTGCTTGTGTATCTCGTCTTCTACCTGCGTGCACGTTTTTCTGATCTTTTTATTCATGTGCTTTTGACTCTTTAGGACAAGAAGATTACGACAGACTGAGGCCGCTTTCATACCAGGAAGCAAATGTGGTTCTGGTCTGCTTCGACGTCACCAACCCCACCAGCTTCGAGAATGTCTTGATAAAGGTACACGCCCCTGCAAAGTCACACACCTGACACAAAAGAGCGAGAGTGCCTCTTTCCGCCAAAGTGGAGTTTCAGGTTTGCATTTCGAGTGCAGTGGTAATGATTAACAGCCTGGTATGTTGGCTTTCTTTCACTTGTGATTAACTCAAGAAGAAAGGAGATTGTAAGGTTTGCAGAGTAAACAAAACAAAAAAAAGCGGTCAGATGGTTCACTCGAGCCTGAGCAGACACTGCATTTAAAAGGTGTGATTGACTGAAAAAACAGTTTTTACATTTTATTTCTGATTATATTCAGTCACTCAGAGTTTTTCATGCAGGCCGAACATGAAAATAGTCTCCTACACCTAATCCCTGGGTTAGCTTCTGATAGAAAATAGACGGTGAAACGCTACAATCCGAAAATCCTCACAGATCTATGCCACACTGTGAATTTGCATTCATGGCCTTGGCTCACGCCCACCCACGGGAAGGCTTTTTAAAAAATTTGCAGCGAGGAGAGAGAGCAGAGTGTCTTGATGATGGTGACTTTTCAACATGGCTGAATGCATTTTGTTAGCCAATCAGAAGCGAGGTGTATTCATATCATTAAAAATAATGAGTAATCCTGTTCTTTTCAGTCCACCTCTACACCAGCAAACTTCTGCATGTCAGAACAGGAGCATCATAGCTTTTTTGCTTTTAAAGAGCAAGTCACCCCCTACCAGAGTATTACTCCACTCCCACTTCCTGTTTGAAAAATGCACCAAATGCTGTGGCCTAGCAGATCGAGAGGGTGGACCCGCTAACAAATACACACACACACAGGCTCACGACGACATTGTGACATCATATGGTACCAGCTAACGTTCTAGCATACCTCTTAGCCAATAGCGATGGCAGATTTAAATTCAAATGCAGTGCAGAGTTTTTACCTGACAACGGCACAACACTGCCAGTTTTAGGCAGAAAATAAAAATTTGAACTAAAATGCACTAAAGTGCTAAACTATTGACTACACGTGTCTGCAGCACGATTAGACACGCATTTATATAGTTTATCAGAAAAAAAAAAGTTGATTTGGGGGTGACTTGCTCTTTAAATGACTTATAAGGCATTGTTTAATACTAGAGAACATAGCAAATGTGTGGAATAAATCAGTAAACAAAACCTTTAAATCGTGTTTCAATTATCCAGTGGTACCCAGAGGTGAAGCACTTCTGCGGGGACACACCGGTGATCCTGATTGGCTGCAAGACTGACCTCAGAAAGGACAAAGAGTGCACGAGGAGGCTGAAAAGCCTGAATCTGGCCCCCATCACTTACATACAGGTAAGAAAAAAAAAGTACACCAACTAATCTATGAAGATAAACTTGTTCAGAGGTTCAGGGAGCAACCAAAATACTCCCAACCATATCCAGTGATGCAGCCTAAGACCTTGTTGTGTTTGGATGTAGGCCGAGAACACCCGGCAGGAGATGAACGCGGAGCTCTACCTCGAGTGTTCAGCTAAACAACAGGAGAACGTGGAAGACGTTTTCAGGGAAGCAACACAAAGAGCGCTGGCCTTCATTCGGAGGCAGAAGAATCGCAAGAGGAAGAAAAAATGTGTTGTTTTATGAAGATAAAGCTCCAGTTTCCCCACTGCTGTTCAGGATCACTTCTCTCATTTTGGAGAGGCTGGATGCCAAAAGCTCAGTGTTCTGGTCAGATGTGAAAATGACAGGATCAGATCAGACTCAGAACTTTCAGGCCCCACTGAGGTGTCGCCCAGTCTTCCTTGAATGGTGCAATGCAAGAACTAATGACGCAAAAGGAAACATGATATGCTGCAGACAACATGTCAACTTCCTTTCAATGCAGTCATCTTTTATTAGTGTTAATTCAACTTTTTATATTGACAGCACATTGCACTGTTAATTACAGCAGGCTGTATTTCTGAAACATTTATTTATTGGAGAAAGTTGAATAAGTAGTTAGATTTTCTCATCTCTGGCAAAAAAGTAAAAAAAAAAAAAAAAAAAAACCTCAAACAAGCAAAAAAGTAAATAAAAAAAAACTCAAACAAGCAAAATACAAGTATTTAAACCCAGCTAGAGTTACGAACAAATCTGAACCTGCAGCTGGACTCTTAGCTTTACCAACAGCGCCCACTAGAGGCAGAAAGAGTACACTGGCTGCACAGCGGCAGTTCAAGTAAACCAGACTGTTTACCAATAAAATATACTTAAATATGATCTGAAAATGCACATGACACATTTGCATATCTGTTTTTATTGAGGCATGTTTTTGTAGTTAAACATTTGGACACAAAAAATGGCTTTGTGTTACTGACCCCTCATCCAGGTGCCTTATACAGTCATGAAATGAGATCACATGATTAAAAACATGGACGACTTATTATTTTGTGTAGTCTGGAAGTTTTGACATTTAACGTTTTCTAGCAGCATGCTCCAATTTTCCCTCAGAGTGCAAACAAATGAAAAGAGCATGGATGACAGGAATCAGCACTGATGAATGCTAGTTTACTGAACAAAACAGTATTTTGTTTTCTTTCTCAATAAGGCATTTAAGTCCTGAGTCTTGAGCAATCATGCATGTAAAAGGAGGTGAGAAAACTACAAAAATGAATACAAAGTTTTTATATTACAAAAAACTGTCATGTTGGCTGGATTTAGAAAAACAACCCAGGACGTTTTTGTGATCCTACGGTAACTTTCTCATTAGCAGCATTTTAGCATTTCTGCAACATTGTGTAACGAGATGGAAAGATAATCCAAGAATTTGCCTTAATATCTGAACTCTGTGATAAATTACGTTTATTTTGCAGGTTTTTGTTCACCAGATTAAAACCACCAGTGTAACGTGGTACTCAGTAATACTTTAGTGTATTAGTAACAACAGTTCACGTGAAAAGCTCATTGATCCTTAGAGGAAACAGATTTCTACATTTTTGTAAACATTTTGTAGTTTCTTTGACAGATAAACCCAACATGTATAGCTTTTTAATCTCTGCTGGTAGGAGAAAGACTGACAGGTTCCCTTATCATCCAAATTAAATGGAAAAACAACTTCCTCCGAGTCTAGACTGAAGTCAGTCATACTTGAATATCAGAATCAGCTGTGAACATTGTGGACCAGCATTTAACCTTTCTGAGTTAATATCTCCAGAAATCAGTTTGCAGTGAAATGACGTGACATTAGGACGTTAAAAGAAGAAGGAAGTTCATTAGATGAGGTGCAGCTGGAGCCAGTTGGATCACTACTACGTCACTGAAGTATGCACACTGCAGACGCCGTGTCTCAAAAGGCAAACTATGTTCTGCTACCTGTCCTCGTTTAACTGCATATGATCAGAACAGAAGCTTCTCTAAAGGCCATGCACTCTGACACAAACACAGAAGAAACAGATTCCCTCCACAATTTCTATAAGCAGGATAACAGACTGGTCGTAGTATTTGGTGATTATTCCCACTGTTCCCACCTCATAGCAACATCAAGTCATTAGAAAGTAGGAGCATGTTTGCAGGAGACTTTGGCTAGACGCAGCTGCTCACTGATGTCACTGAAGACGGAGATGAACTGTGGTTTCAGCTCTGTCGTCTCACGGATCATTCTGTGGTCGGCCCATCAAGCAATTGTGCGTGTTTGATTCATAATTACTGGCCTTCTGGAGCATCACAGACGTCTCGTTGAGGTATTCTCAGTCACTCTTTTGCACGCTCTCATCATTTTTTAGAATTTTTTGGTGGACAACTTTTAAAGTTGTGAGGAAATTTCCCAGGAAGAGGACGAGAAAGGTCAGTGCTAGCATCAACACCTGTCAGAAAAGAGAGAAAAGGCACATTTTAATAGGGGAAAAAGATTTCCTTACAGTGGACAAACACTGGTTATTAAAAGACCAAGTTCACTGAGAAACCATTTTCAACTTGTTTTTGAAATAGGATTGGTCACCAAGTTTGACATGCAGGCTGAACGTTAAAATGGTCTTCTACCCAATTTCTGTATTAGCCGCTGACAGAGAATAGATGAGGGGGGTTAATGCTCGGATTAGAAAAGCCACACAGATGTTTATGTATTTAGCAGACGCTTTTGTCCAAAGCGACTTACAAGTGATAATCGGCATGTTGCCCTTGAGGTTAACAACAACAATAACAACAACAACAACTTGACATCAATCATGGAGAGGAGGGAACAAGGAGTGGACAGTAGAGAGGGGGGATGTGCGCAGGGAGGGTGCTAGTATAGAAGATGCTCTCTGAAGAGCAGGGTCTTCAGGAGTTTCTTGAAAATTGAAAAGGAAGCCGCTGTTTTGGTAGTGCTTGGTTGGTCATTCCACATTTGTGGAATGATGCATGAGAAGAGTCTGGATTGTCCTGAGCGTGGTGTAGGCACTGCTAGCCGACGATACTGTGATGACCGGAGCGGCCGGGCCGAGACGTAAGCCTTTGCAAGAGGATTCAGGTAGATGGGAGCCATACCATCTTGGACTTTGTATGCTAGTATTAGCAATTTGAATTTGATGTGTGCTGCTAGCGGTAGCCAGTGGAGCTCAATGAACAGAGGGGTGACATGTGCTCTTTTTGGCTGATTGAAGACCAGACGCGCCGCTGCATTCTGGACCATTTGAAGAGGTCTCACAGTACAGCCTGGAAGGCCAGTTAGAAGGGCATTGCAGTAATCGAGGCGGGAGAGGACTGTAGATTGCACCAGGAGCTGGGTGGCATGTTGTGCTAGGTATGGTCTGATCTTTCATTAGTTATACAGCGCAAAGCGGCATGAACGAGCAACAGAGGCAACATGATCTTTAAATGTCAGGTGTTCATCAATCACAACACCCAGATTTCGAACTGCCTTTGAAGGAGCCAGAGATAGGAAGTCATTTTGGATTGAGATATTGTGCTGCATGGATGGTTTTGCTGGCATGACAAGTAGTTCAGTTTTAGAGAGGTTGAGTTGGAGATGGTGGGATTTAATCCCTTTTGATATGTCAGAGAGACAGTTTGGTATTCGTGCAGAGACAGTGTGGTCGTCTGGTGGAAATGACAGAGCTGGGTGTCATCTGCATAGTAGTAGTAGGAGAAGCCATGTGATTGAATGATCTCGCCCAGTGAGGTGGTGTATATGGCAATGAGAAGAGGTCCTAGTACAGAGCCTTGGTGGACTTTCTGTGGCAAGATGGTGCACGGTAGGATTGTCCAAGCCAAGATACACTGTATGATCGTCCTGTGAGGTACGATTCAAACCAGGCGTGTGCTTCCTCTGTGATGCCCATGCTAGAGAGTGTGGACAAAAGGAAGCTATGCTTGACAGTGTCAAATGCAGCTGATAAGTCGAGCAGGATAAGCACTGAGGATTTGGCAGTCACTCTAGCTTATTTTAAGGATTCTGTCACTGCTAACAGAGCAGTTTCAGTGGAATGGCCCTTTTTGATCCCAGATTGGTAAGAGTCAAGCAGACAATTTTGTGAGAGGTATTCTGTGATCTGCTTGAAAGCCACCCTTTCAATGATTTTGGACAGAAAAGGGAGGAGAGAGATAGGTCGGTAGTTCTCCACATGATTTGGAGGAAGAGATGGCTTTTTTAGCAGCGGTTTAACCTGAGCATGCTTGAGAGAGGTGGGAAATGTACCAAATGTCAGTGAAGCGTTGATCACATGTGTGACTGCTGCGGCTACAGTAGGAGCAATAGCTTGGAGCAGCTTAGTCGGAATGGGGTCGAGTGGGCATGTAGCAGGGCGGCTGCACGTGAGAAGCTTGGACACATAGTTCTCAGTGAGAGGGGAAAAAGAGGAAAATGAAGCAGTGGGGCTTGAGATGGTTGGGCAAGAAGGAGTTTGAGGTAGCGAATGTTCAGGAGTGGCCAGTTGAGTAATCTGTTTGCTTATAGCTGCCACTTTGTCAGTGAAGAATGAGGCGAAGGTGTCAGCTGATAGATTGTTGGTAGGAGGTGGAGACGGAGGGTTGAGCAGAGTTTTGAATGTCGAAAATAGTTTCTGAGAGTCAGTAGAGCTGAGAATTTTGTCAGTGTAGAAAACTTTCTTTGCATCAGTGATGCTGGCAGAGAATGAGGAGAGTAAATCATGAAATTTCAATTGATCACCAGGATCTTTTGTTTTGCGCCATTTCCGTTCCGCAGCTCTAAGACTGGTGCATAGAGACCGGAGGGTATCATTTAGCCAAGGGTGCGACTGAGAGGATCTAGCAGGTCTAGTGGCTAAAGGGCACAAGTTGTTAAGACAAGAGCAGAGTGTGGAGCAGAGTGACTCGGTGGCATCATTCACTTCATAAGCAGAGAATGTGCTGGGAAATGGAAGAGTGGAGGCAACAAGAGAGCGGTTGGGTGCCAGATTGCGGCGGAATGAGACCATTGGGGAGGAAGCAGTGGACCTCCCTTGTAGAGTCGTGCTGAAATGGATGAAGTAATGATCAGAAAGATGCAGCGGTGTGACGGAAATTGTGTCTATGGCACAGTTTTTGGTGAAAATGAGGTCAAGTGCTTTTCCAGCTTTGTGATTTGGAGGACTTTGTACTAGTTTTAGATCAAATGACATTAGTGACAGGAAGCCTGATGAGCTGGGATTGTCCAGGTGAATATTCACGTCTCCAAGGACCATCGTGGGACAGTCGTGCTCACGAATGGAGGAGAGCAGGGTGTCAAGTTCATCAAGAAAGTCTACGAGTTGACCTGGTTGGCGATATATGGCGACCAAAAATAATTTTTTGGTACAGTTACCATGGCATGGTATTCAAAGGAGTTGTATTTAGTGATGAGTAGCAACTGACTGTAAATCCATTTGTTGGAAATTAACATGTCCGTTCCACCACCACGGCCAGATGCACGAGAAGTGTGGGAGAAAGTGTGGTTAATTGAGAGGGCAGATGGGGTAGCATTGTCACATGGTTTGATCCAGGTCTCAGTGAGAGCCAGTGCATCGAGTGACAGGTGGTTTGCATATGCGGTAATGAAGTCTGCTTTGTTTACAGCTGATTGGCAGTTCCAAAGTCCCATAGACAGGTGGGTGTTTACGGGGGGAGTTGGTTTTAGCGAGCAGAGGTTTTGAAGGCTGCGAAAGCAGTTTGCTGTGTGTGACCCTCCTCTGAAGCCAGTGATCACAGGTATAGGATAATGGCACATTTTGCAAGGCGTCAGTGGAGGAGCGTCTGGGTCGAGTTTGTTTGCTCTGTGTACCTGCTCTGTGGACACGCGCAGGTAGACACGTATGTCTTTACCCCGGAGTGTCTTCACACCGGAGGGGCTGAGACACAAGGGCTGACGCTTCAGTTATGCCACCAAACTTATGCTGTGCTACTAGTTGGAAACAGGTGTTCATGCAGCAGCTGATTGCAACAGTTGAGACCTAGATCACCGGATGAGTGTTTTCAGGGAGGAGAGAAACAGCTTGTTCACAGCCCCTGATTGCACTTATTGTTTTCAGTTGGCCCAAACCGGAGCTACTAGACATCAGGATTACCCACAGATGGGTTTCCTTCTCTTTCCCAATGGGAGATAGTGCAAAGCAAAAGTTTAAGAAGACAAAAACAAGCACTACAGACAGTCAAGGCCCTTCGGTGCAGATTCAAGTCTGAACGAGACAGATCTACGTCACATTGATAATTACCACCCATCTTGGCTTAGCCTGGTCTGCCAGACTCCTCCTCTGTTTAAAACTGAAAGAGAAAGGGTCTGGGAACTCTCCTATTCAAATAACCCCACCCCCCGAGAATTCTAACCGAGCCAATCAGCGCCGAGTAGTGTACGTCCAAGGACGGATTATAATATGGGTAAACTGGGAACAGGCCCAGGGGCCCACAGCCACAAGGGGGCCCACGCAAGCAGTAGTCTTTTTTTTGTGCAGCAGTCTTAACGTTGGAGAAAAATATTGACAAATAATTAAAATTGTGCCCACATTTTCTAAGTTAACACACATTTCTTTTAATAACGGTAGTTTTTGCATCTTTACTGCCTTCTTCCCCCCTCTCCCCCCTCCCCCTGCGCAGCGGCCGCAAACTCACTGATGCGCCTGCAGCCTCTCAGAGTTCCTGCTGCTCTAAACCTTGAAAGAATCATTTCATTTTCTGTTTCTCACTTCTGATTACCTTCAATGGTGTCTGTTTGTTGCAACCACCAGGTACAAAAACAAACTTGTTTTTATTTGACTATTTTTCTGTCCTGCCTGTTTATTATCTTCCTGCATCTCCTCTCAATCCTAAAGAGAAACTGCTACCTGGCTTCATATATATTCACCTTATAAGTTACCTTTGAACTGCAGATAAAAAAGATCTACCGACCGCAAAAATAGCGAAGTGCGCAGCGCACTGGCCGCACCGGTGAGGTGAAATCACCGGAGGATGAAACAGGTTATGCGCTCCGCAGCAGTAAAATGTATCAGACACAAATAAAAGACAGAAAACATAAAAGGATATGAGCCGACATAAACAATTGCATGTTAAATATGTTTGAGGTGGCGACACTGAGAATGTTACTGTGGCCGTTCTCAGGATGCATCTGTCTGGAGCGCGTGAACGATCAGAGCTCTGCGCCTTTCTCAGCTCTAAATAATCCCAGCAGAATCCACATGAATAATGTAATATAAATAGAACCAGGATCGTTTAAGGGCTAAAAAATAGTCTACAGTCCATCTTCCCTAATGTGTTTGTGGCCCTGCAGATTTTTCCAACTCTACCTGCACTTCTTATATGTACCTCTCAACGTAGGACTCTTTCATAAGGGTACCGCACCATCAGCTACGCCAGCCCAGACAAGAGCAGAGAAAATAGAGACAGAATAGAGGATGAATGGATGATTGAAATCTTTATTTCGAACATTATAATAAGAATAAAAATAACTATAATAATACTAATAATAATATCAGTCACTGTAGACATTAAAAAATAAAATCACACAAAAATTAAATTATCATATTCTGTTCGAAAAGGAGTAGGAGGAAGCTAGTGCTTATTAAACCCTAAACCCCTTTTCCCATTTATTCAAAATCAAAAGGAACAATGTCGTTTTCCCAATTCATCATAAATTTTCTATATTCATCTACAGTCAAATGGCCCATTTACACCATTACATACAAAATAGTTCCACATACCTTTTCCATTTATCCATCACACACAGCGATTAACATTCCCTACTACACATACTTACAACAAGGATAATTCTGTCTGGATGTGGATGGAGATTACATTTTACAGCAGCCTGATCATCATTTAAATACATATTCACCTGGCTTCTAGTCCCCGCTATCACCATTATTTTAATTGGTGCGTTTGTGTGTGTGTTTTCCACTTCAAACACTGGTCTAACCAACCAGACCAGCGTGTCCAGTAACATATTAATGTTACAGTTAAACAATTTCACTTCACGTAGGCTAGGAACATTTCACCTACCGTGGCCCGACCGCTTCTGCTCCACATAAACTTTGTGCGTGATCAAATGTCTCTACAGGTGCTTTCTGAGCTGAAGAGGCTATTCTGCCTCAGACTGGACACATCATGCGTCTCCATATTTGAGATGGGAACAAGTGCTATTCAGCCAAAGTTTCATATTCAGAGAACATTTTTCCAAGTGACTCATCCCTCAGAGACCGGGTTTCCAGACCGCTTCAGTGGGAGGAAATCTTACCGCATCTCTGTAGTTCTGCGCTGTGAACCCCTCTACAGATCTTCAGCCCACTGTCCACCGTGTGCGCTCCGAGCCGCGCTGAGCACAGTGTCCAGTATAAAGCTCTGATGTTCTGATGGGAATCATTTCTTGATTGATTTAGTTACCTCCGTGATGTGCGTAACGATTAAAATGTCAGCTCATCTGTGTGCGCATCAGTATGTGTCGGGGTAATTCTTTCAAAACAACCAATATCCTTGAGTTTATCCGTCAAAATAAGCAGTCAAATGGAAATATCTGTAACCGGCCATTTTACTGTTTTGCCTTCCTGTGAAGATTGTTGCAAAGAGAAACAATTAAAACTTGATTAACCCCAGAGCCACGCGCACTGCGCTGTACTTTATGACTGTAAATGAGGGGGAAAAAACGATTTAATCTGATCCTTTTCTTACATTTTCAACATGGTTTAATGTAAAAATTTCATCGAGTACAAACTTTAGTTACAACAATCTAACGAGACAGAGCCTGGATTTGTATTCTGAAAATTTTAAACATGTTTAAAACGGAGACATGCGTGACACGTCTAAAGTTTGCACCTGCTCCGCTATTATGGAAATTAAACTAACAAGATGAATAACATAAAATTATTTTAGGCACAGACAACATCCCCCCACACTTTTGAAAATCTTGCAACGCGCCTGCTACCAGTTACAAATTGTGAAGAACGATTTTCACAAATGGCAAGAAAAAGCAAGCACATTGTGCCCAGGGGCCCCTGCACTGATAATCTGGCCCTGCGTACGTCACACACCATAACACAGAGTTTGTCATAAACACGGCGACTGAAGTGGAGTTCGCTGCGGCTCTTTCCTCTGTTCTAAATGACTTGGACACGTCTTTAAAACCAAAACAAGTAGAAGCGCTAAAAGCCTTTCTGCTAAAGAAAGATGCTTGCGCTGTCGCCAGACACCATTTTTGACCACAGCTAAAAAACTACAGCGACACTCAGTTTCTCATAAACAACAAAGACAGCAGAATTACACAGAGGACGAGTCTGACAGGCCAGGCTAATCTTGGCTGGTGATGGGGAAGGCTGTTGTTGATTTAGCATCCAGGAGAGAGCAGCGCACATCTCTGCTACTAGAAGCTAACTGTTACCATTAGCAACTCCCCAACATGGCAGAAGACAGGCTTGTGTTATTTGAAAAACATCAATAGTCACGTTTACATGCGCACATTTAATCGGATTGAATGCCCAATCAGATCAAAAATTCTGCATGTAAACATGTCAATCGGAATGTTCTGATCCAATTTGGCCCGTCTAATTGAGAGAAGTTGTTTTGTCCGATCCTCATTCCGATTGACATGCATGTACACAGCCATTCGGATTGTTGGGGGTAAAACAATGCCCACTGCGCATGTGTACAACAGCTAGCAAGCCTCCCTGCTGTCATTTAGACTGCCTGACTAAAATAATGACGACCTAATTAACGAGCGACGGCTTTTAAATTTGATGGCAAGCGTCCCCGTTTCAGTGCCATCTAATCCAGAACTTGCATTTTGTGGAAGTAAAATAAAATCCGATTATTGTACAAATCATTCGACAAGCATGTTCAAATCTGTAGTGGAAACATGCTGATTCATTGCAGGATTTGCAGCACAGATCCCCGTTTCTGTGAACGTAGCAGCTGTTTCTGCAGCAGGTGGATAGAGACGTGCTCATAGAGAAGACCGGGTAACATCAGTTAAGCAGACCTGGTTTGAGTTTAAGGAGGCTGATGTTCAGTAGAAAAACATCCTCAGTTAAATATTCTGGGTGACTATCTGTGTAAAAGCCTGTTAACGCAGATGACCTGAGATGCGGTTCGTTTATTAACACATGATGAACACATGCTTCCAAACTTCCTGAACATCTCCTGTTATTTAGTTTGAACCATTTTTCTCAAAAGTTTTAGCTGACTGACCCCCACCACTACCCACCCCCGCAGCGCTGCGCCCAGCCGTCACATCAAACTCGCGGAGCAGCAGATCAAGAGGCAGAGACAAGGATAACCCTCCCTTATTAATATTGTCAGCAATAAAACACAGCAAAGCATAAACCTGCAGTTATTCACTGAATAAAACAACTTCTGCGAGCAAAATAAAAACAAAAAATTGATCAAATGAATCAGGAAAGCAGGAAGAATGTTTTTTTTTTTCAGTTTTTACATTTTTCAATTCATTTCATGACGTTTTACTTTTATTTTCTCTCCAGGAAAGACAACTCTGTGCATGCCCAACCTATTTAATCTAATTAAATAATTGGTGCATATAACCTCACGGTATGATCAGATCATTCAGCCAGTGTGCATGTAAACAGAGATTCGGGAGTTCCGATCAACTAAGATTTGAATTGGATTGGGGAAATTTGTTGCAGATAGAAGAATCGTGTTATCAGAGGTGGGATGTCAGGAAACAAAGACTCTAAATCCTGCCGTGTTCTGCTCCTCTCTGTAATGGCTAACCATTATTTCCTGGAACAAGAGTACCAGAGCTTTTTTTCTCCACAGAGATCGATTCACAAGACGTTAATTCATACTAGAGACCACTGCAGATGTATTGAAAAAATGCGTGAACTTGGTCTTTAATAAATCTGTTGTGGTCTCTAGTATACATGTGAGCTGAAAAAAACAAACAAACAAAAAAAAAGGCTGACGCTCCTGTTTTGGGGAGTAAAAGTTAGCCACAACGGGGGAAGCAGAACACAGGATTTGGACTCAGTTTCCTCATCTTCAGACAGCTCACCTCTGATTGGCTAAGAGCAACTCAACTCTACCACAACCTCTGTTCACTCTGCAGCATTGCTGTTTTTCAAATAACTAAAGCCCGAGTGTGTTCTGCCATGTGGTGGATATGCTAATGCTAATGATTAGCTTCTACTAAGAGAGGTATGTTCTGCTCTCCTGGATGCTAAACCAACAGCCTTCCCCGTCTCCAGCCAAGAAGGTTAAGTCCAAGAATGCAAGTGTGGCGTCGATCAGACAGGCTTTTCTAATCTGAGCGTTTTCCCGTCTATTCTCTAATCGACGGCTAATGTAGGAAATAAGGATAGAAGACTATTTTCACATTCAAATATAACATACGTTCCTCAGTGACGCTCACATAACCAAACTTTTATATTAAAACTACAGAATGATTCTTACCTGCCACTCTTTACAGTCCTCATGTCTTGCCAAGGAGAACAAGGTCACAGAGTTGTATAGCTGCCAAAACTGCAAACACAAAGGAAGCATAGACATTCAGGTCTGCATATGGAGGTGGCACAAAGATGATGTTCATTTCAATATTTCTCTAAAAATTTCACTTTTTAACACAAGTAAACATAAATGTGTAAATATTTTGTCACACGGTCCGCCTGTCTTAAAAGTAGAGAAATCAGAACGATCTGACTTACGTGGCCAAAAAACAGGAAGGGCAAGAGAAAAGTGAGGCCTCTCCACATCCAGGACTGAAATCCCTCTGCATAACAACACACAGCTGCAATTAAGGCAACAGGATACTACACAAGCTGTCCCTGCACAACCATTTGAGACCAGAGGTCTTTAAGAGCGGTTTAAAGTTACACTTGCATCCTAAAAACAGACTGTCTCAATTCTTCACCTTTACTCCAATTTTCCAGACGTGGCGCTGCAGATGGCTCAAGAGTTCAAATGATTAGGATGACTGGCACTGAAAATAGTGTTCAACTCACCCACGGTGAGGTCCAGCTGATTCCTCTCCCCTAAAGCTCGTAGTCTGTACAAGCAGCCGCTCTGGTAGTAATACTGAAGGAACTGAACAAAGCCTGAAGGAAAAAAAAAGATAAATGATCAGGTAGAATAAGATTTCACTGATAAGGAGAACATCTCAAATAGAAGAAATCAGTTTTATTAAAAGAGAGAACATTCTGATTCATTTGCAGAAATATTCTATGAATTTAGTTTGAAACATCCAGAAGAAACACGTTTGTCCTGAGATAATGACATCCAAATGTGGACTTAAGGTGCTGCAGGAGGCGTTGTCCATTATATTGCTTCACATAATGATGGCAACCAATAAATTAAATGACTTGTCTAAAAATCTTTAAAATCACCTCTGAAATGTACTACCTTGGAAAAAAACTCATCCGGTCACTGTGAACATTATTGTTAATGCTGCAATAGCAAATCTACAGAACTAGGTTTTGTTTGCAAAGTCACGGAGCACTCACCCCTTCCCTCGGGTACCTTCCCTGAGGTTTGAATGGAAATCCGTATTGAAAGAGGAAACAAGATTGTGCTGAAAACCATTCACTGTTTCATCTCCAATCATCTTTTGTTGTCCGTTACTTCAAATGGGGCTTTCTTTTTGGAGCCTCTGGTAATCCAAAAGGGTTCAAATGAAGGCAACTGGACTTTGGTTTCTTGAAGACGTTTCGCTTCTCATCTGAGGAGCTTTGTCTATTCTCTGGTACTTTTCCTAAAGTTGAAGTGGTAGCAGCCGCTAATTACCTTCAACTAAGTGGATTACTCCACTCTCAGTACTAAGAGCGAGTGCTGCCAACTGACACTTTTTGGTAGTGACTAACCATGTGATGGCATCAAGTCCTTTTAGGAGTCAGAAAACGCCACCTCTCAGTGTTTAGATTGAGTTCTCTGCATTTTAACTTATTTACTTAATTTGAGTTACTTTACATTTTACTGTGGATTTGTATTTACAGATTGAAGTTTATTGTATTAAGTATTTTAGAGTTTATTCTTGTCACCTCTGTTGCTGTTATCTATTTGGCTTAATGGCAAATCATTTCAGACTGCTGGCAACACTGAGTATGGATGTTATTAACCAGATGACAACAGCCACAAAAGTTAAAGTCTCATGTTCTCCTCCCGGTCTTTTGGCTGATACACCATCGTGTGGACAGCTAAACCTAAACGAATCAGTCCTAACGGACTCCTCCAGAACCTTCGTGATGAATGGAGGACCCACAGAAAAGCAGCGGTTCGGCGGGATCCACAACCGAATGGTCCAATGGTTGTTTTGGGTCCGAGGCGTGTTACTGGCAATGGTTTTTAGGCAAATGCAAGAAAACCACTTTTTCTATTGTTTTTTAATCTCCACAGTTTATTAATAGCTATAATATGTTAGAAGGTAGTTAAGAGGCATGAATTAAATGTTTTAAGCTAGCTTGTTTCCTAAATTTTCTATAACAGCTTTAATGATTGCACCCTGATCCATCCATCCATCAACCTGCCCTCTGACCATCCCGCACTCCTCTGAGCGATCATCATGCACCGCTATGGGTACAAAGTGTGTGTTCTCAGCTTGGAGCAGCTGAACAGGACATGAAGCCAGAGATGGGTTAGCTTTGGAAACGGACAACATGTTCTGTTCCATTTAAACCTCGAGTTCGTTTTGAACTGGACTTCGACAGTGAAGCAGGGGAAAACTGGTCTTTAGAGAAGCCAATCAAAAGTAGGAGTTACACTTCAAAACTGATCATGTAAAACTCCTCCCAAATAACCGTGCCTACTAACAATCAGGTAGACTCTGATTATCTAATTTTATGATTAACTAATCAAAAGCTGAGTCTGAAGAGCTTTTGTTTTACTTCTTATCAAATTTAGCATTTATTTTTATTTCTAGTCAGCTAAAATAAGACACTTGTGAAACAGAATCTGGCAGGATGAAGGGTTGTGAAGACATTTAGTTTGCAGTTCTGGATCAGAGATCACACAGCCTCTACCGGAATAACGAACTTACTCTGATAAATGGAGAAAGCCAGGAACTGGCTCCGAAACATCTGATACATTAGCCCCTCTGGCCTGTGACAAGAACAAAAAAGGTAAAGAAAACAAAATGGAACAAAGGGGACCGCCGACATGCTGCATGTTCTGATGAGTTAGAATTTCTCTCACCAAGTAAGCATGACACCTGACAGAAAGGTGGACACATAATGGTGGGAAACCCACCAACCTTTGATCCTGAAGCAAGAGGAACAAGCAATATTTTCAAAATAAAATCTGATTTTAGTTACATTCTGACAATTATGAATCCAACAATTTATATTGAGCCAACTGACTGGTGTCACACACCTGGACCCGTTAGTGACGAGGATGCTTTCTCTGATAGTCAGCGTGCAGTAATACCACACCAGCAGAAAGTTGAAGATTTCATCAGTGACTCTAAAAATTAAAAGTAGGAGAAAGTGAATAAAAAACAAACAGTTAAAGACTAAAACTTCCAAAGAGGCCGTTATCTCACCGACAGTTGAGAAAGAAGAGGCAGGTTATAGCTCCAAACATCAGGATTATTGTCAGACAAAGCTTGAACTTCTCATACTCGTCTTTATAGGCAAACCTGTGTAAGAGAGACAGGTGACTGCTGACAGTCTAAATGCAGCGTTTTAAGCTGCCTCTGGGCTAAATGCATCACATACTTCGCCTGGTTGCTGAGAAGCGTCACGTTCACGTTACCCAGGACCAAACTCAGATACAGTCTGAAAGTGATCATGAACGGTGATTAAACACATGCCAACACTAGTCAGAACACGAGTGAATATACACATGACCGTACCCGTTTTTCTTTGGTAAATATGCTTCCATGTCAAAGAAAGCATTCTCCCGCTCTTTGATTTGTGTTTTAATGTCTGTTATTAGTTTCAGCTCTTTCTCGTCACATGACTGCGCACACCTGCAGAGGAGATCAAATATTTACTAACTGGAGAATGAAAAATGTCATCGAATATAAACGATCTACTAAAAGTGAGGAACACTCATTTAATCAATACATCTGCAGTGGTCTCTAGTAGGAATGAATGACTTGCAAGTCGTTCTCGTGGGGCAAAGAACACTGGTGCACCATTTCCAGGAACTAGAAGTGACCCACATCACAGCTGAGCTTCAGATGGCTGGATTTGGAGTCTTATTTCCTGATATTTGAACATCTCGCCTCAGATCGACCAACAGCAACGCGGCTCATCTGACTTGCCATGTTGACGTTTTATCGCCACAAATAACAAGCTTGGAGGAGTTTTTCGGTGTGGTGAAGTTGCTAATGCTAACAGTTAGCTTCTACTAGCCGAGATATGCTCAGCTCTCTTGGACGCCAAACCAACAACAGCCTTCCCCGTTGTGAGTCAAGATGGAAAAGTTCAAGAACGTAAGTGACAGTGTGAGGCTTTTCAAATCCTAAAGTTTCACCATCTATTTTCTATCAGAAACTAATGCAGAAGATATGCTGACTCAAGTCTGTCCTGAAGGCCTACTTCTATCATTTAGCTTTTGATCAGTGACCAAGCTTTTATTGTTTTTTATGTTTTTATTGTGACTTTTTTTTTACTCTAGTTGTTTCTTTTAAATTTTTAGGTTATCACATTTATCTCTTATATGATCTTCAACTTGTTTTTATCTTGGGGGTTTTCCTTTTTATTACTACTATACAGCACTTGGTCAGCTGTCATGCTATTTTAAAATGTGCTTTATAAATAAACTTGGTATGGTATGGTAAGATAGGTGTAGGAGACTATTTTCATGTTCAGCCTGCACGAAAGTCACAGTGACCGATTATAATCAGAAATATTCATAAAAAAAATTTTCCTAGAGTTCCTCATCTTTAACCTATTATACTTGACCAAAACCTTTATCATGCACACCTTTAATGCTGCTGTTTCTGAGCATCTGCACCAGCTCAGTGGCCTAGTGGTAGAGGGTCTGCCCTGGGACTGGAAGATCAGAGTTCAAAACTAGCCAGGTCATACGACAGACTTTAGTAATGGGACCCAATGTCACCCTGCTTGACATCAATTAGCTTTAAGGGGTTGGATTGGGGGGTTTAAATCTCCAAATAGTTCCCGAGCACAGCCAACTGGGATGGGTCAAATGCAGAGATGAAATTCACCATTGTGATGATGACTAATGGGGCTTTAACTTTATTTTTGGAAAAAGAAGATGGCATTTTTTTGGTTGCCGTTTCAGTCGACAGAGAGACGCACGCGCGCGCACACACACACACACGTTGTGAGGACCATCATTGACTTACATTCATTTTAATGGCTGAATTGTGCCTAACCCTAACCGGTCTGTTCCTAACCCCAACTAAAACTAAACTCATTCACTGCCAGCCGTTTCCTGATCAGAAAAGCCCTTCACTGCTAGCGTTTTCACTGTTTTCATTTTAAGAGTCACAGAACGTTGCACTCTAGGATGATGTCAACGTCAAAACTATCAAAACAAAGAGTAGACTCCTCTCTTACATCAGGAAGAATGCACGATTCGAGCGTTATCGGTTCTTTCATAATCTGCTTTTCCGGTTCACGCCTCACTTTTTATTTTATTTTATTTTTTTACAGTGAGGACCAGCAAAATGTCACCACTTTGGTAGTAATGTCTTCAGTTTTCAGGTAAAAAGCTTGACGCCTGAGGAAGTTTGCAGCCGCAAACGAAACGTAGCGGGAAAACAGGTAAACAAAACTGCTCTGTGTTTTAAAAAAATAACTACAGCATGGAATTGGAGAAGTAACCCATTTACTAGTTGTTGAAGTTTATCCATTAGACAAGTCCATTTTACTTAAATGTCTGTCCTATGGGTGGGGGGTACTCACTTGTTCAATGTAAACCTCAGGTCTTTCAGGCATTTCCTTTGTTTACTGATGGCGCTGCTGCATGTTGCCTGAAGATTGGTGAGTTCCTCAAGTTTGTGTCTGTATAATTTATGAGATTCCTAGAAATGAAACAAATACAGGTGAGGTCAGACAGAATAGATCAAGTTTTATAGAAATAGGAAAATAGATTTTTGGGCAGTTTCTTGTGAGCACTGAAAACTACACAATCAGATATTATTTGACCTCTGAGAGCCAATCAGTCCTAACGCTTTATAAAAAATGTGAGATAAATATTCCAAAGTCGTGTCTTGTTTTTTCATTTGTTTGATTTAAGTATATTTTTAGGTCACTAAACAAAAACACCAAGAACTTAATAAAATCTTGTTATTAAATGATATTAAGTAAAATCTTTCAAGATGGGCAGTCAGAATATATAAACATGTCTAAAAATTAAAAAACATGAGCTGCACAAATTTAGATCATTTTAAAACAGGAAAAGGTCAAATTTCTCATGAAAATTATCTAAATTTAATGTCCGAATAGAACAATATTTTTTTCCCTAGCCACCTTCCACGAGTTTAGATCACAAAACAAGACAAAGAAAAGCAATCACTCATTTAATAGAAACCTCTCTAATGCCATTTTACCACCAAAAGAAACCAGATCCTCATCATTCAACAGTGAGAGGTAAGTGTTTGTATGGCCTGTGCGTTATATCATATGACTGTTATCTCACATCAGTAAAGCTGAAGTGCACATGATAAATTAAAAGGGTTTCAGGAGTGTAAACAAGTTCAATGGTGGCCCAGAGGTGCAACAAAACCAACAAATAAATAAGACAACATATCAGAAAACATTGTTTAAAGTACAAGATTATGTGCATCACATAAAAATCAAGTTCATGGCAACAAGCCAATTCCCCACCTCGATGACACAGTTTCAAAGAATTTCTGCATATAGCAGCAATTCCTCGAATCTTGCAAATTGGGTAGTTAGTGTGTGCAGTTGTGCTTTTTTCCCTTCAGTATTACTCACACGATCGTCCTCTTTTTCTCTGTACTTTTAACGTCAACTTGATGTCGTTGTGTTTTTTCCTCATCTTGATGTACTTTTGAGCCACTGATTGTATTTTTCAAACCTACATATCTCAGAACTGACAGTGGCCAGGAAATCAACAGATTTAGCAGAAGACATTATGAAAACTTCCGTTTTGTCATCACATCTTAAGGATTATATATATATATATATATATATATATATATATATATATATATATATATATAATATTAAACATCTAAGCCATCCACAGACTTTAACGTAGTTGTTGCTCCAAGTTGTTTCCAGATGGTCAACTACAGCTAAAAGGTGAGCTAGCCTCTTTACTAAAGATAGAGGATGACTTTGGTGGCTACTAAATAGTTTATTGATGCAAAGGAATTGAGACAAGACCACCCTAGGACCTTCACATAACCTCGATAGCAATTGTGCAACCCACAGCACCATGTCACTGAGTTCTTGCTCTACTGTAGCTGCTTCTCGGTGGAAACCACAAAAAGGACGAGACGTCTGCTGCTAACATTAGCTACAACAACACAATCATGGTAGTCTACTCAAAGATGATAAAAACACACCAAAACACGGTTTATAGCGCAGGCATTTGAACTAACAGTAGGTGTTGGGTCAACGCTGCGTTTCAAACAAACAGCCGAATACGAATGGTGAAGAAACAGCCTAACTACTAGAAGCCGCTACTGCATCTGTCAGTGTCATCCACCATACGCTGCTGCCTGAAGAAACACCCACCAAACACTCATGAAAGGCTTCCTGTCACCTGTAATTGTTGATATTCCTTGTCAATGTCATTCCATTCTGCCTGGAAATGTTGCCTGGACATTGTGGTTCACTAGAGGGAGTTACGAAGAGGACGCTTCACAAGGTTCCTCGCTCCTCGACTCTTCCCCAAGCGGGCTCGCGCTCCGTCCGTCCCACTCAGAGGCGTTTTAATTGTACTGCTTGGCGCATGCGCACTTCCACCAGTCAGCTAAACGTTTATGATCTGATGGTGAACCCGCATAAAGTAAACAAACGCGCAAAAAATAAACAAAAACAAAAATTTTCTCAGGCATCGGCAGCACCGTTTCTTCAGTTTCATTTCTTTTACTGATTCAATGTTTACAAAGTTTTGATTAAAGCCACACCAATCACAGCAGGCGTTACTGTTGCTAGGATACAACAAAACTGTTTTCTCAGCTTTAGATCAATCGGCATATATGGATCAAGAGGAAAGGTTAGACAAGTCTTCATTCTTCGGTAGCCCAATGGCGTTAGTTTATGTGCAGACTATTTAAGTGGGTCATCTGCGTGGACGCATCTCTAAGGCATCCTTCTTTTCAAGCTAAAAATTCGTTTTTGAGTGTATTTTCTGTCAACAAGCCGTTAAAGATCTGTTAAAAATAGATGTTTACACACGTATGTACGTACAGCTCATTTTCTAGTTTCAGTAAAAATACTTTTGTTTAGGCAAAGGCTATGTGTCCAAACTTTTCAAAACCAAAATAAAATCCTCAAGTTAAAAATCCTTGCATGCAGCAAAAATGTGATTTATTTAAAAGAAAAAGTAAAAAAAAAACAATACATAAAATACTGCTCAAAATGGGCTGTATTTGTGGCAACTTTTAGAGATGCCACAAACACTCGCAAAACAAACTGGAAGGTTGTCACGTTCTAACATTAACTTTACTGTTTTGACAGTATAATTTTCACATTCTTACAACATGTTATCATGTTTGTGCAATATAAATGTCCCATTCATACAATATAATATGTACTGTATATTGTAAGAATGTGACATTATATTCTCCAAACGTGGTAAATATGCACAGACTTGAACATGCTATGGTAAGAACATGATAGTGTATTGTACAAACATGAACGTTAGATTGTTGGATCAATAAAATTATGATGTCTTAACGTGATATCACTCTAATTTTATTTTGCAAGGGTTGCAGCTCTACGCTTCAAACATATTAGTAAAAATGAACATGACATCTTCAGCATGCTGGAGAAACAAATCCTACAGTTCAAGAAATGAAATTTGGGCCACACAAAATCATTCTCGTGGCCTCAAATGGCCCCCGGGCCATGCTTTTGTTATACTTGCTGTAATGAGATTTATTATTTGTTTAATGACTGAAAATCAACTAATATCTTTTCATGATTTATTTTCTTACACAGAACGTCACCACACCTCCCCAAGTGATGCCAAATTACAAACTAACTAAGAAAACTTCAGTCTCAAGACTGAAAGAGATGAAATCACAGAAATGTGTACTTCGACACACAGTTTTCTCAGTCAACGGAAATCAATACAATGGAGAGTGGCTCAACAACAAGAAGCATGGTTGGATTTTTCTTTCTTTATTTGTTGAAAAACCATCATGTAAATTGAAAACTTTTATATTGTCCTGTGTTGTTTTTCAAGGCAAGGGAATTCAGGTGTGGAAACAAGCTGGTGCCATCTATGATGGGGAATGGAAATTTGGAAAACGTAATGGATACGGAACCTATAGCGTGTTACTCCTAAAATCAAAGGAGTATGTGAGGAAGTACGCTGGTGAATGGAAAAATGGGAAGAAGCATGTAAATGTCTCACAGTCTGTTACAACACACAAATCTAACATGAACACACGCTCTGTTTAGTATACTTTCGCTCTATGTCTTTTCAGGGTTATGGGGTGTATTTTTACAACAACTCGGCAGTCTATGATGGAGAGTGGAGTGAGGACCAACGTAGTGGTAAGGGAACGATGCACTATGAGAATGGCGACATCTATGTGGGAGAGTGGCAGATGGATAAAAGTCATGGGCAAGGACACTTATTCTGTAAGAGAATGTTGCTATACATACCTTTGATAAAAAATGAGCAGTTATTTGCACTCCCCCAATGAAAACATTTCCATCTTCTGTTGAAGCTAATGGAAAACTGTACGAAGGCACCTGGGAAGATGGCAAGATGAACGGCGACGGGAAGTTGTACTATTCTGAAAAAGGTCTGCTTTATGAAGGCTTTTGGGTTGATGGAGAAGCAAAATGTGGCACCATGATGGACTTTAGAAGGGACAAAGCCCCAGCACCACCGAAGTATCCATTTCCAAAGGTACGAGACCAAAGAATTCCCTTAATTTCTGCACCTATTTTGTAACATCAAAAGGCAAACAGACTGCATGGCGGCGCGGTTGGTAGCACTGTAGCCTTGCAGAAGAAGCTCACAGGTTCCAATCCAAGCTGAGGTCTTTCTGTGCACACTTAGCGTGTTCTGCACATGCATGTGTAGGTTTCCCACCACAGATCAAAAACATGCACATTAGCTCAACTGAAAACTTGAAATGGCCTCTTTGTTGTAAGTGAGTGTGTGACTGGTTGCCTGTCTCATTTGTCCCTGCGTGTCCCTGTGATGGAGTTGTGGACAGTCCAGGGTGGCCCCTGCCTTCCAACGGGTTATTACTTGAGTTAGGCACCAGCTCCCTGCAACCCTAATAAGGAATAAGCAGTTCACATAAAGGATGGATGAAAAACTATCCCTTTTCAAATGCCACCCTAATTTTTCAAACACTAATTTCTTTCCTCCCTTTCAAGCTACACTTGAAGGATGTGGAATCGGTTTTAAGGGAAGCCAAATCAGCCTGCCTGGATCACTGCTGTCAACAATCATCAAGAGGATAAACAAGTTTGTGCTTCATCAAAAATAAATAAATGCCAAAAAAATTAACGATGCATTCAGCATACTTCTTTTCTGTAACCCTGTAATCTGCTAATTTGAAAAGTAGAAATTAACATGTTTATTCTATCTGTTACTACTGTTAATATTTGAAATTACCTCATTAGTAACGTGAACTAGATTAACATGTAAAGCTAACCTGATGCAACCCAAATACAAGATCATGAAACTTGGCTTGTGATTGAATGCAATCTACTGAAAAGGCTGTTTTGCTGAATTGATCAAATAAATAATAATCATACTTTTTAAAGAATCTCCAACATATTTATGCTGATGACATTCAACAGTACATCTCCTTTAAACCCTATGAGATGTCATTCTACTGAAACAGCTCCTCTTAGACTCTCTAATGACCTTCAGAGTCACAGTGATGCAGGGGACTGTTCTGTTCTGGTTCTGCTGGACCTGACTGCAGCCTTTGACACTGTTGATTATTACCTGCTACTGGATAGGCTGAGAGACTGGGTAGGCCAACTGCTCTGGAGGGTTTTTTCTCTTATCTATCTGAGCGTTCCTTATCATGACCGTTTCTATGTTTGCCCTCCTCCACCTCTCACCCATGGTGTCCCACAAGGCTCTGTGCTGGGACCACTACTATTCCTCCTTTATCTGCTTCCTCTCTAGCAAATCCTGAGCTATTTTAAAGGAATCTTCCCTCTTTATGCAGATGACACCCAACTGGACATCTCCTTCAATCTCCATGAGATGCCTAAGCTGCAACTATTACACACTTGCTTAGACTCTTTTAAAAACTGGATGGCTAGGAATGTTCTACTGCTGAATGATGACAAGGCTGAGATCCTCATCTGGTTCCCAACCTGATTCCCAAAGTCAGAGCCTCTCTTGTGCCACTTACACACTAGCATGGCCTCCACTCCGTGCCACCTACCCCAGCCCAGCCACGTTTGTTCCACACTGCCTTAGCAATATGGACGTAATTGAGCATGTGGGCGGTATGTGGTCTGTGATGTTGCAAGCGCACGTGGGCGGGGAATATGATCGAGAAGTCTGCGGTGTCTCCATTATTAAACAAAGTAGCCTGAGCAGTCTTGCTTTTGGAGACTCTCTGACTCTGATATTACATCCTGCTTTGATGTGTCTGGCAGCATTGTGTGTGCGCATGCCTCACAGCAGAGAGCAGAGAAAAATGGCTTCAGTCAGAGGCTCGTTAACTCCACAGCATCCAGAATGATAATGAATCACGCATGCAGGAAGCCCCCGTGGGCTGATTATGTCTGCCAGTCGGAGGCTACCCCTAATGGTATGCATGCTTCAGTCAGCAATGGGTGTGTTGGACCAGTTTGGCTCCAGGCAAACCTCCTTGAGAAGAGGGTTGAAAATACGTACGGTTACGCACAGAATAATCCAAGGCTACATAAATGAGAACTCCCCCAACCTGGCCAGGCAGAGTAGAGCTGATGCTAGTGTGTAACGGCCATTGGTCAGCTTGCTTCTAAAGCTGGGCAGACACTGTGCAACTTTTTTCACTCGTAGCACTCAGCTTCAGCTCAAACTGTACGACTTCATCGCAGGGCAGATCTCATGAGCCATGTGCTCACACTGTACGACCCAGTTCTCGGATGCGACCTGACTGCTCACACTGTACGTCTGGTAGCAACAAGTCGGACCAAAAAATATGCTAAAAATAGCAGTTTTTACACAACACGTCAGACTTTTTTTGTCTTGCCTGTTGTCCTTTGGGAGTGCTGCAGGAGGACACAGGGATTTATGGGGGTTGGATGAGGAAAACAAAATAAAGAAAGTAAATCTGTGTTTTGTGATCAGTTTAATTTGACATGAATACGACAAACACGCTTTCTTGACAATCTCTGTGAGTAAAAAAAAGTGTAGAAATAAAAACGAACAATGTGTGCTATTAGGGAAATAGTGGGCGAGCGGCGTTGATGCATGATTGAGCATGCGCCGTGAGTGGTTCTGGTACTTTTTGGGTCGCAGCTGCTCGCAGCATCACTTCAACAGTGCGATACCCTTACGAGGGACGAGCAAAATATCAAACACGCCAGAAGTCCGTGCGAGCTCACGATTGCTGATGGGTAGCTGGTCACGTGGTGTTAATCGCCTCTCGTAACCCCCTGTGCACTACACGACGCTCAGCGCAAAACTCGCCCCGATCTTGTGGATTCTTGCACGAGTGGAAAATCGGGTCAAAAAAGTGAAAAAGTCGCACAGCGTATGCCCGGCTTAATACCAAACCCTCTGTCAAGAATCTCGGTGTGACCTTTGACCCAGCACTCACCCTGGATCACCCATGTCAATTATTTTGTTCAAGTGGAGGAGTTTAAGCATCTCTGGGTCTTTTCCACGAGTGGGGGAAAGATGGAGGACAAGATCGACAGGCGGATTGGTGCTGCGTCTGCAGTGATGTGAGCGTTGTAACGATCTGTCAGGGTGAAATTAGAGCTGAGCCAGAAGGCAAAGCTCTCGATTTACCAGTTGATCTACGTTCCAACCCTCACCTATGGTCACAAGCTTTGGTGACCGAAAGAAAGATTGTGGATACGAGCGGCCAAAATGAGTTTCCTCTGCAGGGTGGCCGGGCTCTCCCTTACAGATAGGGGGAGGGGCTTGGTCATCCAAGAGGGGCTCAGAGTAGACCCGCTGCTCCTCCACATCGAGAGAAGCCAGTTGAGGTGGCTCGGACATCTAGTTAGGATGCCTTCTGGATGCCTCCATAGTTAGGTTTTCCTGGCATGTCCATCCGGGAGAAAACCCAAAGGAAGACCCAAAATAGGCTGGAAGGACTATGTCTGTCGACTGGCCAGGGAATGCCTTGGGATTCCCCCGGAGGAGCTGGCCCAAGTGGCTGGGGAGACGGAAGTCTGGGCATCCCTGCTTAAGCTGGGCAGACACTGTGCGACTTTTTCACCTTTTTTTTTCCACTCGTGTAAGAATCCACAAGATCGAGGCAAATATTACGCTGAGCATCGTGTAGTATACAGGGGGTAACGAGAGGCGATTAACACCACGTGACCAGCTACCAATCAGCAATCATGAGCTTCTTGCATGTTTGATATTTTGCTCGTCCCTCGAGAGGGTTGAAGCAGCGCTGCAAGCGGGTCGAATCCAAAAAGTACCAGAACTGCTCACAGCGAATGTGCAAACATGTGTCAACACGGCTCGCCAGCTATTTCCCTGCTAACATGCGTCGTTTATTTTCATTTGTGCACTTTTTTACGCACGCAATGACAAGGATTATCAAGAAAGCATGTTTGCCGTGTTTATGTCAAATTAAACTGATCACAAAACACTGATTTACTTTCTTTCGTTTTCCTCCTCCATCCCCCATAAATCCCTGTGTGTCCTCCAACAGCATTCTCATCCTAAAGGACAACAGACATCAGTAACAACACAAAAAAAGTCAGGCGTGTTGTGTAAAAACTGCTGTTTTTTATCATATTATTAGGTCCAACGTGCTGCTACTCGACATAGTGTGAGCAGTCAGGTCGCATCCGAGAAATGGGTCATACGGTGTGAGAACATGACTCGTGAGATTTGCTCTGCTAGGAAGTCGTACAGTTTGAGCTGAAGCTGAACGCTACGAGTGAAAAAGTCACAGTGTCCGCTCAGCTTTAGGCTACTGCCCTTGCGACCCAACCCTGGATAAGCGACCAAAAATGGATGGATGGAGTTCTTTTGTTCGCTCTTCCTTCTTTCATCTCTGGAACATTGCTAAAGTGAGTCCCATTCTGTCATGCTCTGAACTTGACATTGTTATTCACACCTTCATTTTCTCCTCTTTAGACTACTGCAACTCTGTCTGAGCAAAACCTCCTCGAAATGTTCAGGTAGCTCATAATGCCTGTACTCAGCTTCTAACCAAATTGTTGAACTACCCCCATGTCACTGGCTGCCGGTTAAGGTAACACAGAAGAGTTTCCTGCTTCTCCCCCTACTGGTTGAAAATGAAATTACAATTGTCGTTACCAACCCTGCAAGATCCTGCTGTAGCTACCGCTAACAAGAAGCTAGCACTAGCATGAGTAAAAAAAATCCACACTGATGGAAAAAAATAGTATTACAAGTCCACTATGTAATAGATCAGTCTGTGATTTTGTAGCCTTCTTTAGCTCCCTCAAACTAGTGTAGGCCAAACCAATGTTCACTCTGGTTTTTGCTCTTTGCTTCGCCTCCAAATACATTACTCTTTTACTTTTATTTCCATGGTTAGTTGCTGCTGTGGCCCCCAGACTCTGGAACTTTCTCCCCCTGAGATCAGAGGACTCGGTGGTCTCCTTTAAAAAGCAGCTGAAAACTCACCTGTGTTGGCTTTGGTGTGACCTCCTGCTTATCCTCTTCTTCCTCACTAACTTCTTTTTATGTTGGTGTTTCTGCAATTTCTGTCTTTTTTGGGATTTCGGGATTATGTATTTATTTTGTTCAAATTGTTTTCTGAAAAGTTTCTCCCATTTTTATTGTTCTCACAAAGCGCCTCGTGATTTATATCTCGTGAGGCACAGTGTAACACATTGTTTCTTCTTAATGCTTACTTATAAATTGAAATAGAACTGATAAACATTGGTCGACTGATATTTATCGTTATTAATATATCGGCATTAGCCGATATTCCTCTTCCGTGGATCTGATTTAAAGTCAGGCACATCAATGGGCAGCCCGGTGCTACTACCACATCTTATTTAAATGTATATTTACGTTCCTAATAAACACCTTTATTTAATATTTGGTCAGTTTATTGACTTGTTTAACTTTGGTTAAATGTTGATTTTAATACTGTGCACTGAACAAAATTAAGATTTCAGAATTGAAAAACTGATTAAGTTCAGAAATGTTGTGCATCCACTGTTGTGACATTTTAGCAAGTAAACAAAGAGGAAAACATCTAGATATGAAAATGGGTTAAATAATCATCAGTACACATTGGCTATATCAGTATCGACAACAGAAAAACCCATACGAGTCTATCCCTACTTCTAAATACATCTAACACAAGACTCAATCTAGTTTAATTACAAGGGCAAAGATCGAGGGGAAAAACGAACAGGTTCCTACTGAAGATTTTGTTTGGAAAACTCTTAAATTACACAGTAGATGTCATGTTTTTTGAGTTCTAAATGCCAAATCCCACGGGTTTAAAAATAAAGTGTTTATTGTACCACCACAGCTTGTTCTGAAGAAGGCAGACATCTAAAAATACTTCAGGTTTGGCAGGAGTTAAGTAAGTGAACACAATTACCAAGAAACACAAACATAAATGGTGAGCAGCACAATAAATCCTATTAATTATGCAGAAAAAGTTAAATAGATGTTCACAAAACAGCTGTGCAATAATACGCATAATCACAAGTAGTACTTGCTGACTGATAAATAAATCCAGCAGGCAACAGACAGGAATCCAAGTTAATGAGATGTCTGCTATAATGAGTGACAAAATGTCACATTTAAGACAAATTCAAGCTACATACATGCCGTACAGCAGATTCATTCACAGTTCAAATGTACCTTCAAAAATACAGCTCTTTGTAAAAGTCAGTTTCACACAAGCTTGAGATTTTGACATTCCTAAAAAAAATTTTTAATCTAAAGTCGTGGCTTCTGTCTTGTTGAAATCACAAGACATCAAAGTTCCTACAAATGCATGCACCCATCTATGGGAAGTGGGAGCTTGGCGATTGCAAGATGGAAGAATCCCCTCTGTTGTCAAGCTCATTTTGAAGCCGGGTGAGGTTAGAAAGCTCCTCAAGCTCCTGGAACTGTCTGTCAGTCTTGTGGCTCACCAAAGAGCGATAGAAGTGCACAGCGAAGACTATAAAGACTAAACCAAAGGGGACCATAATGGAGGTAGACGTAATAGCAGCAGCCACGCCTGATGACACTGTGTTATTACTGGATTTGATGGGTTTAATGGGTAGAAATTTGACCCAGCACAATAGAACCACCTCAGCGAGGAAAAGCAAAGTGCCAATGACAGTAGAAAAAGCCCAAGCCAGTTCGATGTGGCGGTGCATCCGCTCATGTGGAGACTCCTTAACAGAGTTGAGATTGTGCACGTTGCTGACAGCTTCTATGTTGGGCAAAATGCACGTGCTGACCATGAGGGCAAACAGGTGAACGGCCACGAGCACAGTGGTGCAGGCACTGAAGGCGATGAGGAGAGCAGGCGGGTATGGATAACTGTTGTCCAGTTGCACTTCCACCATAGCCACCTAGAGGGGAAGGAAGCAAGGAAACAGCTATAAACACTCACACCTGTGCTGTCACGTGACGACTTTAAAGACTAGCTAGAAGCGAATGTTACCATAGCGAACCCAGAGAGGAGAGCTGAGGTTCGGCTGGAAGCTTTCAGCTTGGCTCGGCTCAGGTACAGCTTTCTCCAGGACAGAGCTTGTAGTGAGTGCTCGTTCAGACTCATGTTGCGCCAAATTCCTAAAAAAAACACACACAAAACAAACACCGAGTGGCGCAGCTGTTTGTGGTTGTGGCGCTAAATAAACGACGGCCAAAAGAGTCCAACTATGTCCACTTCCAAATCATTTAACTTAAGTCTTGTGTCGGAACAGCGGAAGCTAGATTTCTTCTTCGTCTTGTTTAACGGCGGTTGGCAACCAGTTTAATGCAGCATTACCGCCTCCAACTGTTCCGGAGTATGGGCCAGCCAGACAGTGAGCTCACAATCATTGAATCCTATTCTTTCTTTCTTTCTTTCTTTCTTTCTTTCTTTCTTTCTTTCTTTCTTGCTTTCTTGCTTTCTTGCTTTCTTTCTTGCTTTCTTGCTTTTATTATTATTTTTAATTACTATTCCTGAACAAAGACATAACAGAACAAGGTACAACATTAAGGGACAAACTCTCATGGCGGATGTAAGCTTAAAAACAGGCTAGGGGGCTTATCAAAGAAAAGGAAAATAACATACAAAACAAAGGAGCATGATTTACATAGGAAACTCAAAACAGTAAGTTCTCAGTAATTTGCCGTGAGATGATTCTTGCATTTTTCCATTTTACTTAATGAAGAATAGAATAGTTTAAATTCATTCAAGAAGCATGGGAATGAGGGCTTGGTACCCCTCCACTTATTGCAATGGCTGTGATATTTGGCTAACAATACAACTATATTGATAGTAGGCTATCAGAAAAAGTCACATTCAAGTCCTTCACATAGAACAGAATATCACCAACTTAAAAAAAATCTGTAGTAAGTTTGAGATGAATCCATTCACTAATGTCCTTCCCTTGAATCCTATTCCTCCACTCCCCCTTCCCTCTCATTTAATCTTCTTCTTCTTCTTTATTCATAGATCACATTTTACAGTTGTTTACATTTGCAAAAACATACATTTAAGAGTTGACAATACGAAAATAAAACAGACAGAAAGATAACATAGAAAAAAAAAGAAAAACATACAAACATAACACTTAGGGATCTGCTGCGTCTAGATTGAAATGATGAAATAAATTGATAGTCTTGGTTAATTTGTTGTTTTTCTTTTTCAAATTTTCAACGTTGTTCCAATAATTCATAAGGTCTGTAATTTTGAAGTTATAAAAGGGGAGAATGCTTTTCTGAAAAATAATTTTGTGTAAATAATTTTTAGCAAAAATAATGATCAAATTAATTATATATTTTTCATTGGATGATAGATGAGGGTTAGTAACAATAAGGATTATTTCAAATTTGCTTAAAAAATATCTAGCTTTTTGGAAATATATTTTTGTAGATGGAACCAAAATAATGTTACATGAAAACAATCAACAAAAATATGCTCAATCGTTTCTCCCTTACAACCACAAAAAGAACAGATGTCAGAGGCATTTGGTGAAAAAAAATACAGATGTTCACTTTTGACGGGTAATATCTGTGTACAAATTTGAACAAGACTTCTTTTATCTTATTCACAATAACGTATTGGTGAGGTAGCAGAAAGATCCTGTTCCATAGCTTTGCATTCATTAAAGTCCATCGGTGTTTACATATCGGTGTTGATACAGGGTCAATTACTTTTTATCTATCACATATCTAGCACATTTATGATGTATTCTAATGTACTTAAAATATTCTCAGCACTAAAAATGTCTTTAATATTTTCTAATTTCTTTTAAAAAATTCTTTCACTCTCATATTTTACACAATACATAATTACATGTTCAACAGATTTTTGCTCATTGCAAACATCACATCTACCATTTTCATGTTTGTTCATTAAATATAACGTGCTCTTCAATCCCGTATGACGTATGCAGAGTCTGGTCCACATTGTTTCTTCCTTTCTGCCTTTTCCTCCTTGTCTACCTTTTCCAACTCTAGGATTTATTCTATATTAAAACCTTCCCTTATGTTCCTCATCCCATTTGCTTTGCCACATTTTCCTAATGCTATTTTTTTAAATTAAAAATTTAGCTTCTGTTTTAGCAAGATTGCATTTAATTGTTACACTAACTTCTCCTAAAGCTTTCTTAGCTGATTTATCTGCCATCTCATTTCCAACCACACATGTGATGGAACCCAGACAATCCTATGAGTTCCCTGATTCTGAATACTTTTCAATAAAACCATCATCTCACATATTAGATCATACCTTTCACTCTTGTTACGTGTCCTAAGATTTTCAACTGCAGACAACAAATCTGTACATAATATTGCTCTTGTATTACCCATTGTAGAGCCATCCCTATTGCTATTAATTCTGGAGAGAAAACTGATAATTAATCTGTAATTCTTGCTGAAAATTTTGTATCCAATTCCGAAATCACATAAACAACTGCAACGCTTCCTATGTCCGGTTGTTTTGATCCATCAGTAAAAATTTAAATATATCCACAATAACTATCCACAGATCTCATGGCAAGTAGACCACTGTCCCCTTTACTCTTTCTAATCTTTTCATGTAGGCACGTATACCGGCATCAACCATGGAGGATATGGTGGATGAGGAACAGATGGACCAAGCACCAGGTTACCCACTCCAGCCATCTCAGCGTTGTCCTGCACATTCATGCTGAACGATTCTATTTTTCTGTTCAACCGATACCGTGTTGGAATAACAACATTTCTAGTTGGATGATCTTCTTTGCTCCCTTTCAAATAGACAAAATATGACAATGATATCTGTAATCTCCTTGCTCTAAAGGCATTTCACCTGCTTCAACTTGAAGTGCACATCGGGGAGGATCTCATTGCACCTAAACAGAATCTAAGGACAGCACCCTGAATAACATCCAGCTTTTTAAATCTTGATTTCGCTGCAGATGCAAGACATAATCAATAACAGATCTAATCAACCCAGTATACAGTCTTTTAGCAACCGCCCCCCATTCCTTACTGCACAAACATCTGTTTATATTCACAACTTTTTTACACTTATCAACTAGTTTATCAATATGATAATGTCAATTAAGTCTATAATCAAAATGCATACCCAGAAATCTTATACAACTTACTCTTTCTAGATCTCTGCCATACATCTGAAATTTAAAACTGACTTCTATTTTCCTGTAGAAAAAACACAATTTTTGTTTTTTCTACATGAAACCTAAACCCCTATTTACAGGCCCATTTTCAACTGTGTTGCTTTTTGTAAACTTTTAACTGTGAATGTAATAATTCCCCCTTTTTCCAAAGAGCTCCATTGTCTGCAAATAAAGACTTACCTATATTACACTCAATATAATCAAACATATCCTTTATCATAATTGAGAATAAAATAGGTGGGATAACACTTCCTTGAGGCACTCCATTTTCTACACTTAAACATTCAGAAAGACACCCATTAATCCTAACTTGAATCATTCTATTATAGAAAAAGTTTTTAATCCAGTTATACAGTTTGCCATCCACTCCCATTTGTCTAACCTTAACTAAAATCCCATCTTTCCAAAGCATATCATAATCTCTCTCTCTCTCTCTCTCTCTCTCTCTCTCTCTCTCTCTCTCTCTCTCTCTCTCTCTCTCTCTCTCTCTCTCTGTATGTGTTTTGTTCTTGTGATTTTTATCTGTAGAGGCGTTATATTTAAGGTAGGTTGTTGCCATGTTTAGGCTACACTTTGTTTCAGATTAATAAATAACATTAAAATATAATAACGTTTAACTTTTTCCAACCCCCCCCCCCCCCCCAAACAAAAAAACCTTTTCAGAAACGACAACAAACGGAATAAACTAGCAATTAAAATGCAAACATATATTCTTTAAAACGCAAATAGACACAAGTTTGTAAGTCTTATAAGTCGCTTTGGACAAAAGCGTCTGCTATATACATAAACATAAACACGAAAGCAGCACATGCCGTCACGTGTTCCAACAATGTTTTGGTTCCTGACGGTGACGTAATACACAAAAACATGGTTCCCTTGTTTTGAACCCGTAAAGCGTGCTAAGCGCTTCGTAACTCCTCCACGCATGGGGACGCTTTCTCCGCACTGAGTGGCTGGGAAACATCCAAAGACTCGATGGCTGAGTCCGCGGAAACGGGTGCTGAGTCCGGACGGAGGCTGGTGTGTACCATCTGCCGTGTTTACGTTAGCTAATACTGGCAGCGGGCTAGGTAGTTAGCGCAGCTAACAGTTGCAGCTGAAAAAACGCTGGGAAATTCATCATGTCACCGAAGCTTTTCAAGTTTTTGAAAACGGAAGCAAGCGAAATATGTTTCATTTGAGATTTAATAACTTCTGCAGTATGTGGAAAAACAGTCTGTGGCAGGGAAAAAGAGACACATTAAGGTGTTGGACTGAGGTAATGCAAACGTTTAGTTATTAAAAGCTGCCTTCCCTGGTTGGAGCACGAGACGTCACATTTAGGAAAAATTATGTTGCCATGGTAACAGAAGTGGTACCCTCACACATCTGGATATTCAAACCTTGCTCCTGTTAGAAAGTTGGTCATGATGACATTAACAGTCGTTTATAAATCAGCCATACTGACCGCTGCGGTGAAGATCAGGAGGCCCCTTTGTGACAGAGTTTGCACAGTTTTGTCATGTAAATGTTGTTTTCAATGCCAGCGCTCCATCTGCCGGAGGATGTACGATGAAAATGAAGATCTGTCTGATGTGGAAGAAATAGCAAACATCCGAGGTTTCAGTGTGGAGGAAAAGCTTGTTAGTGACAGCTACAATGCCGATTTTGTCCACACAATGGATGGCAAAGGTAAAGAAGCACAAAGCTTGAAACCTTTCTTTACAGTTAGCTGCTACACCCATCATGCCATGTTGCATTAAAATGCAAATCTTACATAAAAGAAAAAGCATGCTTTTAGTTCAGTAACGGATGGTCAGCTTTGGAGTAAAACACACGCCTGCTGTGTTGCAGATTTCACTTATGAATACGTGCAGAAGGAGGCCCTCAGGATCCCACTCATTTTTAAAGAAAAGGGGGAATTAGGGATCAGGTGAGGTCGTTTTTCAGCGTGATATTTCCTATTTGAGCTTATTGATATAACTGTTAGCAGGAATAACTTTAGTTACTTTAAAGTGTTTAAGAACACAGCGTACAGGTAAAACTGGAAAAATCAAAATATGGTGCAAAAGCTCATTTCTCATTTAGGCTCAGGAAGCCTCTGCAGGTGTTCTGGATTCATTAGCTGATTAGATTGTGACACTTTGAGTCTAGAACATTGAACCTTTTCACAATATTTGAATTGTCTGAGATTTTGAATGTGGGGTTTTCATCAGCTGTAATCCATAATCATCACAGTTATAACAAATATCGGACTTTGCATGTAATGAGTCTATAATTAACCTGTTATTTTAGTCTTTAGGTTCTACCAGTGTGTCCTCTGTGGGGGCCAACTGCCCTCGGAGCAGGGGTCGGCTGTGGCTGCTTGGGTGTTTCTGAAGGTGGGCATCCTTGCCTCGCCTCCTCTGGGTGCCCTTTGGTAGTGCCCAGGCTGCTGCTGCTTTCTTTTCTCAGTTCATCTGTACTCAGCCAGTTGTCCTTTCATTGTAGTTTCTGTGTGTGTGTGTGTGTGTGTGTGTGTGTGTGTGTGTGTGTGTGTGTGTGTATGGGTTGGGGTTGGGGTAAAGCGATTAAACTGCACTCGATGTATGAAAAGCGCTTCATAAATAAAGTTTTAATTGATTAATCTATTCGTTTCACCTTTCAAGTTGAATTATTGAAATAAATGAACCTTTTTCACCATATTGTAATTTTTCCAGTTTCACTTGTATGTTAATTATTTATTTACTTACAGTGAGTTTTAATTTAGAGGGATTCCAAAGTCGTCAAAATTCATCAAGAGTACTTCAAGATTTTTTAATTAAACTTTAAAGTAGATTCATAAATAAAAATCTTTTCCTTTGCATTATTGTTGCTCAAATATAAATTTGTCTTGCAAAAACAGTACAGGCACAAACTGCAGGTATTTTCTGTGTGTCACACAGCATGTTTGTGTAAGTTGCTATTGCTTTTTTAAAATATAACACTAAGCTGTTTTGCTTTTTTATATTTGAACATCAGTAAAAAGCACAAAATTGTCTTCATAACTTAATCAGAACATAGTTAATTTAATTTCAACATTACACCTGCAGTTAATTTTGATAAAATGCATTCATAGCTCCACATCTCTAATCTGATCTACTAAATCTGATTACTTATTACCTAATCTTGTTATGGGAATAATCATTTATGTGCTGTACAGAGATCATGTAAGTTTTAAAATTTTAGCAATGTGACTAAATTAATCAATTTTTACGCTTTTGTAGGATGCCTGATCCAGAGTTTACAGTTGGTGAAATAAAAGGATTAGTTGGTAAGTGGACTGCTGCAAACACAAACAAGCAAATTTATTTAATCTTTTGTCATATAAGGGCTGGTAAAATATGCTTGTTATTAAAATCAAAGCATCTTCATTTGTGAAAATATGGAGTTTAGCTAACTTATTAGGATCTTTCATAAGATTATTAAGTTTAAGGATTTTAAAGTGTTTCTGCATGCTAAATAAAACATTCCTTTAATGGTTTCAAAGTTTAAGTGTTCATAATATGGTCCATTGTCAATATTAATATGAAATGCATTTTTTTTTGTTTTTAATTAAACGGAAGAGCAAGCAGTGCTTTGAAAAGTCACACATGCATGTTTAAATAATAAAAATGTAACATTATTAGTTTTTATAGTATTTCTTTATTTTTGCCTCATAAGTAAATAATAATAGAAGGTGAAAGTTATTGATAACACATATTATCTTACTTTCCACATCTTTTGGCTGCATAATAGATTTCCTCACTATTGAGTTTTTATAAATCTCACTCTAACGCTGTCATCTAGTGGGGGGACACGGTATTGTTATTTTTAAGATTCTTGCAGCTCTACAGGTCCTTCTAAAAAATTAGCATATTGTGATCAAGTTCATTATTTTCTGTAATGTACTGATAAACATTAGATTAGATTCATTACACACAACTGAAGTAGTTCAAGCCTTTTATTGTTTCTAATATTGATGATTTTGGCATACAGCTCATGAAAACCCAAAATTCCTATCTAAAAAAATTAGCATATTTCATCCGACCAATAAAAGAAAAGTATTTTTAATACAAAAAGTCAACCTTCAGGTAACTATGTTCAGTTGTGCACTCAATACTTGGTCGGGAATCCTTTTGCAGAAATGATTGCTTCAGTGCGGCGTGGCATGGAGGCAATCAGCCTGTGGCACTGCTGAGGTGTTACGGAGGCCCAGGATGCTTCGATAGCGGCCTTAAGCTCATCCAGAGTGTTGGGTCTAGCGTCTCTCAACTTTCTCTACACAATATCCCACAGATTCTCTATGGGGTTCAGGTCAGGAGAGTTGGCAGGCCAATTAAGCACAGTAATACCATGGTCAGTAAACCATTTACCAGTGGTTTTGGCACTGTGAGCAGGTGCCAGGTCGTGCTAAAAAATGGAATCTTCATCTCCATAAAGCTTTTCAGCAGACTGAAGCATGAAGTGCTCCAAAATCTCCTGATAGCTAGCTGCATTGACCCTGTCCTTGATAAAACACAGTGGACCAACACCAGCAGCTGACATGGCACCCCAGACCATCACTGACTGTGGGTTCTTGACACTGGACTTCAGGCGTTTTGGCATTTCCCTCTGCCCAGTCTTCCTCCAGACTCAGGCACCGTGATTTCCGAATGACATGCAAAATTTGCTTTCATCTGAAAAAAGTACTTTGGACCTCTGAGCAACAGTCCAGGTGCCTCATTTATCAAGCTTGCTTACGCACAAAACGGGTCGGAAAACTGCGTAAGCAACTTTCCACGCAAAGTTTTGGATTTATGAAAGAAAACTTAGCGGAAAAATGTGCACAACTTTAAGTTGACTAAGGATCTTGCTTACGCACATTTTGGACATGGAGAGCACCTGCAGTGCTGCTGCTGAGAAGGATAAAATGATGAAATCCTGCAGCATTATCACTTGTACTGCTTCATGTTCACACAGAACAAGACCCCCCCCCCCCCCACACACACACACATGCGTGCACACTTACACACATGCGTGCACACGCTCACACAAACACACACACACACACACACACACACACACACACACACACACACACTCACACAAACACACACACACTCGCTCACACAAACACACACACACACGCTCACACACACACACACACACACACACACACACACACACACACACACACACACACACACACACACACACACACACACACACACACACACACACAGCCTGAAGCGCAGAATACGGAATGCAGAATATCAGCAGGGGGACAGATTGAGACAGAATGTCATGTGTCTGTGACAGAGTGTGTCCTGTCACTGTGACCCGATTGATCATGCGCCCTGGCTGCTCGAATAAGGCAGATCTCCGTTTGGCTGACTGGTTAGTGCGTGTGACTTTCACCCGGGAGTCTGGGGATCAAATCCTGATCGGATAATTTTTTTTATCCGCCACAGATCTCTCTGAAGAACTCAGCATTGACGGCTTCAGCAACGCTGTGCCACTCCGGATTTTCTATTATTTGTTTTGCAAAAGCACTTACTTTCATTTCTCCACCTCACCCACAAGTACCTGAATTTCTGCTTGTGAAATAGCGCTTCCTTTATCTGCGGTCGTGATTGAAATGCTGCTACAAGCCGGCTTATGTATATGCATGAGATCCACAAGGCACTTTGCATTGACTATTTATGGCAGTAAGTGGGCGTGGTGAGGGCGGGATGTGACTAAAATGCAGCTGAGAAACATCCTCATTAGTCTCTGATTTATGAAGCGGAGATTGTGTGCAGCTGTGCGTACTCCATGTTTGATAGATCACAAACCTACTTGGCGTAAGTAAATTTTTTTTGCTGAGCTTAAGTTTGGATTTAGTAAGGATTCTACACAATGTTTGATAAATGAGACCCCAGTGCTGCTTCTCTGTAGCCCAGGTCAGGCGCTTCTGCTGTTGTTTCAGGGTCAAAAGTGGCTTGACCTGGGGAATGCGGCACCTGTAGCCCATTTCCTGCACACACCTGTACATGGTGGCTCTGGATGTTTCTACTGCAGACTCAGTCCACTGCTTCCGCAGGTCTCCCAAGGTATGGAATTGGTCCTTCTCCACAATCTTCCTCCGGGTCCGGTCACCTCTTCTCGTTGTGCAGCGTTTTCTGCCAAAGTTTTTCCTTCCCACAGACTTCCCACTGAGGAGCCTTGATACAGCACTCTGGGAACAGTCTATTCATTCAGAAATGTCTTTCTGTATCTTACCCTCTTGCTTGAAGAAGAAGAAGAAAATATAATTTCTATAGTGCCTCAAGTTAAAAATCATGAGGCGCTTCACAAAAACAAAAAAAAAAGTAAAAATATAAAAAAGCATTTAGAAAATGTTTAAAAATATATTTAAAATGAGCAAAAATAGGCAATTGGGATTTAAAATGAAAAATGTTAAGAAAGAGAGAGAGTGAATAAGAAAGAGGGAAATCAGTGGATCCTGAGGAAGGTGGAATAGGCGGTGTTGGGGTTATTAGGAGCGAACAATTCGTAAGCTTTAACTTACTTTTTGATTCTTCAATAAATTCTGTAAATATGGGAATATTTACTGATTTATTAATTAATTAAGATATTCTTAGATATACGGGGCACCATTCCCCTTTAACCGGGGAAAAATTGAATCCAAAACTCTTATCAGTCTTTCTTGAAGTTCGTAGAATCCTTGGAGCAGAGACTTCTCTTCGACACAACAAAGCTACTGGAGACGAAAATCTGAATTTTATAATGTTTAATTAACAATTTGTCAAATGAATAAACAGTGGCATAAATGAATAATAACCATGTGATATAATAAAAGGATGTATATTCAAAATAATGTTCAAGGTGTTTTGTGTGTATGTATGTGTGTGTGTGTTTCTAAAATGGAGTCTGTATGCAAGATGGCTGACCCCTTTGTCTGGCTAAAGTGTGAGTGGCAACTTGCACTTTAACTTCCAAGGCACTTAGAATCATCAGTAACTTAACCTTAAATTCACTCAAAACATTTCAAAGGATCATGAAACAACACAAAGGATTAATCACGAATAATATCTTTTAGTTTAACCACGTGGCCAAGCAGAAAACATTTAAAGATACCAAACAATGATCAATAAGCAGTTTATTTATTCAAAATGACCCGGCGGACGTGTTTTGGGAACGAAAGAGGAAAACACGAAGCTACTTTTTAAGCAATAGCGCGGTTTTATTGCTTATTCTGGACTATAGAGGAAACGGGAGAAGAAAAGGAGAGAGAGAAATGAGTTTTCTGATCACCAGAACAGTGAAGCGTCCCTCACTGTTTTGATTTGACGGTTCTCCGTATTTTTCCGCAGTTTGGCGTCGTCCGTCGGTTTGATGGGTTTCTCCGTTGTTTCTCCCCACGAGTGTTTCTCCACGGGCTGGACACAAAGAGAACGAAGTTTCTTTTGGGCTGAGTTTGACAACTTACAGCGTCTCTGAGAGCTGGATGGAGCTCCGCTCGTTCCCAGTCAGGTCCTGATGGAGTTGGAGTGTAGTTTCCAGCAGTTCCGTGGCTCAACTTGGGCACTTAGAGCTTCCGCGTGCTCAAGTTGTCGGAGCGTTCGACAAGCGTGTCCTTACCGCCAGGTATCCTGGGCAAAAGAACGAGGTTCCTTTGTCTTTGCTGAAGATTTATGGTCTTAGTTTGCGGGAAAAGTTCCATGGCCTCCCGCACATGCGCAGAACGTGTTTCTGGTATTAGGCGGTGACATCATCACAATGCTTCCGTGTGCAAAGCATCATGGGAAATGAAGTTTCTTGGCGCTGATGTGATTATTTGCTTTTCAGAGCAATTTAAGCACAGTCATTTTGGAGAAAATCACTGCATAGTAAATTCCTCATGAGGTCAGACCCTCAACATTCCCCCTTTTGGTTTCGGGGATCGCGCCCAAAGCTCGATCGTCGGAAGCACAGGTGGGTTTGTCCCTTAAGACGTTGGTCTCCTTGGACGCCTTTGTCTTTGGTCTTTGTCTTGGATCCTGGCGCCTTTGGTCTTTGTCTTTGTCTTGGATCCTGGTCAGGCACAAAACAAAAGAGGATAGGAAACGGGATAGTCCCCAACGCGCATAACGAGAAGAAGCCACTCACGCAGGTGGTACGCAATGATGATGTCGTCCATGCGAGAGGTAGTAGTGTAGAAGGAGGAAGGTCGGTGGGCGGTTAACTCCACGAGGGGACACAAAGGCATCTCACCGCCGGCCATACAGTTCAGTTTATGGAGCACGCGGTGATGTACGAGGTCCATAGTTCGCAAACGCGCATTGACCTATG